GTGATTCTTAACGCCTTGATAAGTGGAACTTTAATAACGGTGCAAACGGTTATGCCTTCTTAAGTGTCACTTAGATGCTAAGTAAAAGCGGTGCGAATGGCCCTATATGGCTTGCATGAAAAATGCTTTTCAGCTAAACTAAAGTTAGATTATATCGCCTATAATTTGACAATTATGCATTTTTTCAATTCGAGATTTGAGTTTTTGTTTAGTTGTTACAATGACAAGTGTCCCCATGGCAACAACTGACTTCAGCGAAAGTTTAATTAAATTATCTATAAAGTGGCAACTATGCATTTCCATACCACTGAATTTGGGTTTTTTCTTTAGTCGTTACCATAATAACAGTTTCTCCATAACTGATTTCAGCTAAACTATAGTTAAATTAAAGCATCTAAAACTTGGCAACTACTCATTTTCTTACCACGGTATTTGGTGTTTCTTTACTTGTTTGGTCTTTACCATGCCAAGCCTGGGGGGACAGAATTTATGTCAGCACCCACTAACAAAAGAATTTTTAGAGTTAACGTAGTGGGTTTTTAACAAAAAAACCTGTGTTTTGTCACATGCACTATCATACAGTGTTTCTACTTAAGTCGGAACCATATGGAAAACTTTTTTTATTACTGGTATTGTGAAAAAATTCATATGATAAAAAGTTCTACATGGTCCAAAACCTAAAATGCAACTATAAGATATCAATTTTTTTAAGTCGTATACGAGGTTTGTCAAAAAATGTGCCTTTATTTTTTACAATACAGGAGAATGTTATAAAATAAAGGTATTTTATGAATTAAAAATATGCAATTATAACCATTTAACATTAAAATTCAGGCTGGGTGATTATTTAATTTACAAATAATTTATAATGTAAAACGTAAATAATCACCTAACCTAAATTTTTATGTTAAATGACTGTAATTACATATTTGGATATAACTTTTAATTCTAAATAATTTTACTTTATAACATTCTTCCGTATTTTAAAAAATAAGGTAAGTAAAATTCATATTTTTTGACAAACCTCGTATACGGCTCAAAAAAATGATATCTGATGATTGCATTTTAAGTTTTGGATCATGCAGAACTTCTTATCAACAATAATTTTTTTCAAAAAAACGGTATTAAAAAAGTTTTTTATGTGGTTTTAACTTAAGTAGACACACTGTATAACTCGGAACGGACAGACAATTGAGAAAAGTCATAATAAAAACAAATGTTCTTCTTACCGATATCTTTCATTTGGCATATATCTTATTCCTATTGGGGGGTGGGGCAAAAATGCCCATTCTCCTTTATGTTAAAAGAGACTAAAAATTATAGTGCAGACAAAAATTTATTGACAATCGCAGAAACTACAAATAGAAACTGTAGATCCTTGTAAATTTATTTTAATTTTAAATTAATTTTACAGTTAGCAATTTTTCTTGCTACAGGTATTGTTTAGTTGAAATATATTTCAAAAATAATTCGCTCGCAGTTCTATCTTAGCCTCCTATTCACCCCGAGTTTTCGAAAAAAAAAAAAATCTGATTAGTCTAATAATTTATGGCGATCCGGATCACGTGGCCGGATTCCGCTACACCTGACGTAGCAAAACCGGACTACAACAAATGCTTGCAAAATAATTTTTTATAGTTATCGACTACCGGAAGTATACAGGGATTTCATTTCAAAACTAGCCACCCAAAATAACTTTTAAAATATCTTTAAAACAAAAAAAAAAACAAAAAAACACGTTAATTTATATTTACGGGGGGACACATTTTACAAGTATCTGTAACCGTGCAGTTTCATCCCCTAAGGGGTGGTGAATATCACTTCTAAAATTTTAAATAGAAAGGGATATCATGTGATAGCTCTTCTTAAAGGTCTCTTTTTTTTTCAATCTTTTGACACATTATTTTAACATTTTAACCTTTTAAATTAAAATAATTATTATTTACATTAATATTTTATTTGCGTAAGAATTACATTGTACTTAAGATGTTCAAAATGTCCGCCATTGTTGGCAAGGCAATGGTAAAGTCACAGCTCGAATTCATCCCGCACTTTTTGAAGCGTCTCTGGTGTAATCCGCTCACACTCCTCCACTATTCTACATCTAAGTTCAGGAATATCGCGAAGTTGAGTTTTATACACCACAGTTTTTAGATGTCCCCATAAAAAAAGTCAAAGGGCGTTAGGTCGGGTGATCTCGCTGGCCATTCTATAGCGCCCCTTCTTCCGATCCATTTATCTGGAAATGTCTCATTAAGCCAATTTCGTACAGGCAAGGCATAATGTGGAGGTGCTCCGTCCTGTTGAAAAAATAGGTTTTCTTCGTCTAGTAACAAATTTCCATCTTGATCTATTTGGTTTTCTAAGGATTCGGTTATAAGAGGATTTATCAGATTTTCTAATAAGTTCAAATACAATTCCCCAGTTAAATTTTCCTCCATGAAAATAGGACCAATAATTTTATTACCAAGAATTCCGGCCCATACGTTGATTTTCTGAGGATATTGGCTGTGCTCTTCCCGAAAAACATGTGGATTTATATTGTCCCAGTACCTACAATTATGTTTATTGACAAATCCATTTAAAAAGAAACCTGCCTCGTCAGTAAAACAAATATTTTTAATAAAATTATGGTCTTCATTTGCCCTTTGAGTCATTAATTCGCAAAATTCTAATCTTCTGTCATAATCATCCTCAGCAAGCTGTTATAAAAGCTGTATTTTGTAAGGAAAGAATTTATTTAGCCGTAACGTTTTATGCACAGAGCCAACGAAAATATTTGTTAATCTGGAGACTTTTGGTATTGATGTTTGAGGTTCCATGACAAAATGACCTAAAATCTCAACTTGTGCAGCTTCAGTTAAAACTCTACGATTTCTTACAGTTTTATTGCACACACTTCCAGTTTCTTGAAATTTATGAACTAAATCCAACACATACTGATGCCCAACATTTTTATCGGGATGTCTCTGATTAAAAACACGAGCAGTTCTGCGTGCACAGCGTTGTTCTTCACCATAAATAAAGATTATTTCAATTCTTTCTTGTAAAGAATAAACCATTGTCAAAATTAAATTGTCAGTACACAACGAAACCAATAATCTACTAATAATAAATTGTTTTAATTTACGGTCAAAAATATCTTACGCAAAAAACATTTAAGGCTTTTTGCTAACTTGTTTATCTCGGTATTTATACTCATACATTTTAATTCAATATTTTTTTTCCGGTTTCTAGGTTATAACTTGGTGAAAAATTAATCCGATTTAAAAAATAATGTGTCAAAAGATTGGAAAAAAAGAGACCTTTAAGAAGAGCTATCACATGAGACCCCTTTCTATTTAAAATTTTAGAAGTGATATTCACCACCGCTTAGGGGATGAAACTGCACGGTTACAGATACTTGTAAAATGTGTACCCCCGTAAATATAAATTAACATGTTTTTTTGTTTTAAAGATATTTTAAAAGTTATTTTGGGTGGCTAGTTTTGAAATGTAATCCCTGTATATTTCATTGCCAGCAAAAATATAAAAATCCATTCATGGGCAACTCAAATTTTACTGATCACAAAACCTTTCCCCCACCATCGGGATCCACTACGTGCTATTCATCCTCCTTCCCTATATCCAACTTTGTCGTATTTGTAATAAATGCAGTTACCAACTTTACTTTTTCTACATTAGTTTCACATGCATAAGTAATGTGTGCCTAAAATAAACCCTGTTTTCTTTTTCTTATATAATATGTTCGATTGGATATTTTAAAATTTTCTTGTGTACATTAATTTGTACATTGTGGGTATTCTCATTTTGTAATTGAGTGGTGTACCAATAAATAAAATAAAAAATAACTATAAAAACATGTAGTTTGTGTTATAAATTTGATCTTCATTGCGTACTACACAGTGTGGTCTTTCTAAATAATTATACATTGCCAATTAGAGGAAATTTTCATTGCGTTCTTGAAGTAATTTAAATTAAAAAAACATCTTCACCTAAACCTGGTCTAAAAATTTGAAACAATAATTTATAATTCAAAATCTCAGTTGAAACAAAAAAATGAATTTTTAAATTCTTATTATCATTAAATTGAAAATTTGCTATTTGTCTAATAATTTTTGTAAATAATTCTAAGAAACGTAGCAATGATAAAAACGAATTATGGCCTCTTCTCATAAATAATCTTTGTAGTCTCGCTCGGAGGGAACCGAACGCACATATGTTCAGTCTAAAAAAGCAAAAGATCACTACCCCAATTCCCCATGTTTTCTCGATTATAATTTATTTGTAGAATTCTTCAAATCAATTATAAAGGCGAAAAAGCAATGAAGCAAAATCTGTAACTTAAATTGATTAGAAACCGCTTATTTTAATTTGTATTTACCGAAACAGTAGTTTATTTATAAACTAAATTTATTAGTACTGAAAACTACACTTTTTATAGCTCAAACACTTATATTAATTTATATTAACAATATTTTTCTTTGGGTATAGAATATCTAGCTTTAACTACTTATAGAGAAAGTCGCGCCATTTATATAAAAATTTGTCCTACTAGCCCTGTCCTGATTATTCTAAACTTTCTTGATACCTTTACGTGCACGTGCGCACCAGACTCGAGTAACTTTTCGTATTCTCGAATGTCTCGTGTAAGTAGACTGAACGACGCCCTCGCTTGCCATAAAGCAGCACCCGACTGGTCGGAAAATGGCTCGCACGACAAATCTTTCGGATTAATTGTAAAAAGCATCTATTGTGGAGCTTTCCTGGTCTCCCATCTATGTTACAAATTAGTATTTGACTAGTTTCTTTAAGCGATAGCCTTTGGTATATGGTTGCTTAGTTAGATGACTTCAGCAACTAAGCACATCGTGCAGCCATCACTAATGCAGTGTTATAAAACAGTAACACTATACATATTTGCATCTAGAAGGATGATGTATCCATTCACTGAACTAAAACGGATCCAATTAAATCTTTCTTTTTATGTAACAATTTAGCTATACCCGCCATGCTCGCTGACCTGGGAATTTATCTGGGAACTGTGACCGCTGCTATGGTCTTGCACCACAAAATGCTTGTGGGAATTTTGAGAATGCCTATGGATTTTTTCGATACCATCCCATTGGGTCGAGTATTGGCTCGGTTTTCCAAAGATACCGAAGTAGTTGATGAAAAATTACCGTGGTTTTTTGCCGATTGGATGAATTGTGCTTGTGAGGTATTTTTTGTATTTATGTTCAGTAAAATTAAACCTACCATAACTTTTCTGTAAATAATCCTAAGAAACACAGCGATGATCAAAACATATATTTCGGTTTCGTTTCATAAATAATTTTTGTAGTCTTCTTAGAGGCAACCGAATGCACACATATCCAGTTTAAAAAAGCAAAAAGTCACTACTACAATTCTCCGTGTTTCCTCGGTAATAATTTTTTTGTAGAACTCTTCAAATCAAAGATAATAGCGAGAAAGCATAGAAGAAAAATCTGTAATGTTAATTTATTTTAATTTAGATTGTTTCTTTAAGCGCCAACATTCGGTATACGGTAACTTATAGCGTCTTCGATTCCAATGCCCTGCCTGCGTGGAGTGCACATAAAAGATGAGCGATATATCGATTCCGGTTACATTTCAGATTGAGAAGTAACTGATATTAACATATCTCCCACCTTTCGTATGCACTCAGTGCAAGCCGTGCTCTAGATTCGAAGACGCTATTAGTTAAATGAATTCAGCAACTAAACACACACACACACACACACACACACACAGTACAGCCATCACTAAATCAATGTTATAAAACAGCAACACTATACATATATGCATCTAGGGACGTGAAGTATCTTTCACTCACTAAACTGAAATAGAGCGGATCAATTCTTTTTTTTTTTTTAATAATTTTTTTAGCTATACCTGCCTTTATCGCTGATCTGGGAATTTTTATGGGAACTGTGGCCGCTGCTAGGGCTTTGCACCACAAAATGCTTGTGGGAATTATGCGGCTGCCTATGGATTTTTTCGATACCATCCCTTTGGGTCGAGTATTGGCTCGGTTTTCCAAAGATACCGAAGTGGCCGATGATAAATTACCGTCGTTCTTTGCCGATTGGATGAGGTGTTTTTCCGGGGTATTTTTTTTGTATTTATCTTCAATAAAATTAAATCTTTCGTACCAATACTGGTTAGCTTTGTAGTCTGTCAATATAAAAAAAAATATTTTGACAATTAAGAAGAACCAGTGAATCCCACTGTTTACGTTTTCGAGTTATCTGTAAACAATAAAAACTTTGATACTTTAATGTGGAATAGCCTAAAATTAGGTCTCTACTAATGTCCAACTCCTTTCAATTGTATAATCTACCTCAAACTTGGTGCCTTTCCTTTATTTAAATACAGTGTGGACCAGCCAAATGGAATAAATTCAGTATTTCTATTATTCCGCATCCCCAGAAATATGTAGCTTTTAAGCAAAATCATACCTGATTACATTTTATTGTCAGTCATTGTTATTTCCCCGTAAATTTCATATATCTGACGGTGAATGCCTGCAGTTGTCACGTTTCTTGTACTTAAAAAATTAACCTTTATTAAGACAAATCAAATTTTAAACGCTTTCAAGCTAGGTGTCATTCGATACGTCACTTTTTTGTTGTTATCGGAAAATCGGTTATAAGGAAGGTGCTGGGTTAGTTAACACGACTTTGAAAATTTACTGCTTGACTAATAACTGTATTTTGTAAATAATCCTAACATACGTAGCGTCAACATTTTAAAGCTATGGTAGGTACTTATTCGAATGGCTTCAACAACTAAGCACATACTAACGTGTGACGGTATAAAACACCAACACTATACATATATGCACCTAGGGACGTGATATAGCAAACTCACTAAACTGAAATAGATACGGAGAAACCTTTTTTTTTTTTCATCAAAACATTTTAGCTATACCCGTCATGTTCGCTGATCTGGGAGTTCAACTGGGAACTTTAGGCGCTGCTATGGTATTGCACCACAAATTGCTCTTGGGAATTTTGCGGACGCCCATGCATTTTTTCGATACCGTTCCCGTAGGTCGAATATTGGCTAGGTTTTCCAAAGACATCGAAGTGGTCGATGATGATTTACCGTGGTACTTTGCCGATGGGATATTCTGTTTATTCGAGGTATTTTCTGTCTTCAGTAATATTCAATTAAAACCTTCTTTCGTGCTAATATACTCAGCTGACTGCTGTTGCCTGATGAGCCTCAAATACGGCGAAGTTGCTGTATTGACAGAGTCGGTCGCGAACGCGTTTTATAACACTGTCATTCAATGTTCTATTGATAATATTCCAAGTAAAAATTGAAACTGGAGGCAAGGTGTCAATCAATTTTCCTTCCATTTTAGAGAGAATTAGACGTGTATTTTTATTTTTGATTTTTACTTGACTATTGAACATCATAATGTATCTATCCATTCTTCCCTTTTTTCAAAACAAACTGTATCTGAAAAGGTGGCGAAAAATAGATAAAAATCGTGTTGTTTGTTCAAATATTAATATTAATCAAATAAAATTAAAGTTAATTGTACTTAAAAGTCTCCTTTATATTGTTAAATAAGCTTTCCAAATACCACACAAGGTCATAATTTTTTTAAAGAACATCTTGTTGTTTTCCTACAATTTTCGCAAATTTCAAAGGAAACAAAATGTTCTCATAATTAATTAATTACGTGCGGTTGTAAATTCAAATTAAAAATACTACCGAAGTAATGAAATCTGTTGACAACCTTTCAAAAAAAAATTGCATTGATTCAGTGTATCTGTGAGTGTCATAAAATGTATTTTTTTATTTTGATCAACAAAATCTGGATGTCTTGAACATTATAAATACTATTTGGATGAAATAATTCATAAATTATTGATCACACTGAATAGTACAGATGATTTAAACGATTTAATTTAATTTCTATTATTTTTAAGACTACATTCATATGAAAATATACTACTGCTCATCAGATCTGAAATCGTACTTAAAAAAAGTAATGCGTTACTCTTGCTGCAAAGAAACGAGTTAGATGTCAAATATTCATAGAAAATAATTCTTTACCTTACAAGACAACATTGAAAATAAATAATAACCTAACATATCTATAATAAATAAGAATACAGATTAAAATTGTGATATTAAAGTAAAAAGTATAAACAAACTCTATAGTAACGTGATTTGTAAAAGTAACGTTATAATTTCGTTACACTCAGCTCTACCACTACTAAAAAAAATAATTAAGTTGCATACCTTTAAACTACTTTTTCACAAATTTCAAAAATGCCGAGCAATATTTCAAGGTGTTCTATGGCCTTTAGAAGTATTGCTCGACATTTTTGGTCCACCTTGTATGTTAAAAAACTCCAAACTGTAATGTTAAAATCAATGACAGAATGATTTGTTTTTATTTGATGCCTGGTTGTAGTTTAATACGGGGATTGAACTATAATTTGAAGACCTACTAAACTTTTTTGACCATTGAAAAATAATATTTTTACTAGTAGTAGTTCTAAAGGTTTTTCCCAGGATATAGGCTGTATTAGTCGACAGTCTCTCAATTTTTCACCTATATAGCATATTTTATATCGACACGTTTTTAAATACGAACTATTTATTATAAAAAAAAAAAAAAATTTAAATATAACTGCTATTACTCAACTCACAAATTATTTCAGTTTCGCTATTTAGTATGTAATTGTTTCTCTTCCGCATTTTATAATTTAGTCCTAGAAAATTAAAATATTAACTTTAGTGTAAAATATAATATACTTCTTTGGCTTTCACTACTGACAGATTTACTTCACCAATAATCAAGCTATACCATTATTTACCAAGAATATTTGTGTGCAGGTTTTTATCTGGTACTTTAAAAAGTAAGTTTGTCAAAATAATGAACTTGTCTAAAAAGAAACACTTTAAAAGGCCGTTTTGTGTTTCTGTCATTTCATAAACTGATCAAACCAAAAAAATTCTAGCAGCAATATCATAGAAGACAATTACATACGAAATGGGGGTCACTAAACTTAATCCAGGATTTTTTTTTCTTACAATATAAGCTGACTAGTAATGTGTTAAAATGTATAATGTGGCTTATTCGTTTTGATGTATCTACTTGACTAGTACCACGTTTAATATTTGATAAAAAAATAACATGGTGTCTATAAAAGGTATTAGATCAAAATAAACCGATTTAAGTAAACTTACCTCAGTATAAAGTTGCTCAGTTACAAGTTAAAAATTGTAATTTCAGAGCCATCTAGCGACCAAACTAATCAACTTTGTACTGGTATTTGATGTGTTTTTGTAAAGACACCATGTATATATTTTATTTTTAAGAATATTACTCACTTGAATACACATATTATCGATTCCTATGACAGGTACAGGGAATATTTTATTGTAAACATCAAAAGAAATCCTGGATTGACTAAATAATATTTTATTATTACAAAATAATAACGTCGATATTTTTAGGTTGTAGGCACTCTAGTTGTAATAAGTTACACTACGCCACTGTTTATAGCCGTAATCATACCGCTATGTATTATCTATTACTTTGTACAAAGATTCTACGTGGCCACGTCCAGACAAGTCAAGCGATTGGAATCGGTGTCGCGATCCCCGATCTATTCCCACTTTGGCGAAAGCGTATCTGGCGCTCATGCCATAAGGGCGTACAACCAACAAGATAGATTCATCAGAGAATCAGAACAAAAGGTAGATCTGAATCAAATCTGCTACTATCCCGGAATCATATCGAATAGATGGTTGGCTGTCAGATTGGAAATGTTGGGCAACCTGATCATATTCTTCGCCGCTCTGTTTGCGGTTATCGGAAAGGATACTGCTCCTGGATTGGTGGGGCTGTCTATTACGTATGCATTACAGGTAAGTAATCATAAATACTATAATAATGGTAATATTTCTTACGCATTCGACAATTTTAGATTACCCAAACGCTTAACTGGCTAGTCAGAATGACTTCTGATGTAGAAACAAACATTGTAGCGGTCGAACGTATCAAGGAATACGGTGAGGCGCAGCAAGAAGCAGCTTGGGAAGTACCACACAAGAACCCACCGTCTACCTGGCCATCAGTTGGTACAGTAGCGTTCAAAAATTATTCCGTAAGATACCGCCCGGGTTTGGATCTGGTACTGAAAGATGTCGATTTCGAAATAAGGGGCGGGGAAAAAGTCGGTATCGTAGGCAGGACCGGTGCCGGTAAATCCAGTTTGACATTGGCATTATTCAGGTACATTATTCATCTCTTTGTTTTACCAGTTTTTAATAAAAAAATTAATTCCTTTCAGGATAATTGAAGCAGCTAAAGGAAATATTTTCATCGATGGCGTCAAAATCGATGAACTAGGTTTACATACGTTAAGATCGAGATTGACAATCATACCTCAAGATGCTGTTTTGTTTTCTGGTTCATTACGTTTGAATTTGGATCCGTTTGATGCTCACAGCGATCAGGATGTTTGGAGGTCATTGGAACACGCTCATCTTAAAGAATTTGTTGAAGGTATGTAACGATTCATTATTGGTCTTAATAAAAATGGTTGATACAGGGGGAAAACCAGGTGAAGAAATAAAATAAATAGCTCTTTAAATCTTTCGGCTTCAAAGTTAAAATTATTTCATCCTCTTACACATTTAAAAACATTAAGAAAATAAATATTAAAATTACCATAGTTGTATGAAACGTGTTCTTTATATTTCAGGATTAAGTGCTGGTTTAAACCACGAAGTGACAGAAGGAGGGGACAATCTGTCCGTTGGGCAAAGGCAGTTAATCTGTCTTGCGAGGGCCCTACTGAGAAAAACGAAAATTCTCATTTTAGACGAGGCCACTGCAGCCGTCGATCTAGAAACTGACGATCTCATCCAAAAAACAATCAGGACAGAGTTCAAGGATAGCACAGTGCTTACAATCGCGCACAGATTGAATACTATTATGGATTCGGACCGAGTTATCGTTCTGGATAAAGGAGAAGTCGCCGAGTTCGATACCCCGGCCAATCTGTTAGCTAATGAAAGATCAATATTTTACAGTATGTCACGTGATGCAGGATTAGCTTGATGTTTTTAGGTTTCTATCTAAATAATTAAAAAAAAAAAAATATCGTGAATACCAGTTGCCAATCTGACATACTTATTTATGTTTTTGTTATTTATGTAACATCACTTCATAGATTCGAGAAAAAAGTAAGAGGTTTTTGAGGAATTTTAGACGTGTTACTCCCAAAATGATTAGATGCGTTGTTCACACGTCTAGGTTCGCGTAATAAAGTATTGAATTTTATTTTTGGAATTGAAAAGATTTTAGTTTTTTTATGAAACGATGTTGATTATTTAAAATTTGCTTGATTAAAATAAAGGATTACAAATGTGCCACATAAATATTTGATTTAATCAAGGGTAATATACCAAGACCTTAATAATACTCAGCTATTTTTGTTGAATCTAAATATTGAGAATATTTTAGCATTAATAATCTGATTAGAGCCCGAAACTTTAGCAATGCAAAAATTATGTAGAATCAAATTGAAAAACGTTCGAGAAATTTAGCAACAACAAAAATGGCAGAATATTAATCAAGGTCGTGTTATATTTGGGACGACTATTTTACTAGATCAAATATTTATTTCTCTAGAAAAATAGTCGCTGATATTTGGTCTAGGAAGATAGTCACAATTATTTTTTATTTTATGTACTTTGTGTTAGGAAGTTCAGACCTTTTTATTCCTACTTCTTTTGGTCTTGAATAATTTTACTATAAATATGATTTTTCTTTTACTCCTTTTATTTCTACTACTTGATTTAATATTTTCATGAAAGGAAAATACAAATTACTCAAGTAACGGATGTATTTTTAAATATCCAACTCGAAACTTCAATCAATACTCTTTTTCCTTTTTAATTTTTCTTTAAAATAAGTTTTCTTTTAACCTTAATTCATAATTTTTCAGGAATTACCCATGCCGCGATAACTCGAAATTATAGTCGCGTTTCTTTTAATATAAGTCGTATTGAACAAAATCAATAATTTCCATTCTTATTCCTACTTCTTCGAATTGATTTAAAATTTAAAAAAATAGTATCAAAAGAAGTAGGAATGTACAGGATCACTAATTCTCAGATTATTTTTAATTTGTTTTTGTATTTGTTTTAATCATCTCGTCCTACCTTTATTGGGCTGCTCAGATTTGCGATTTACGTGAAAAATAATTTTTTGTTATACGTTTTATATATATTTTTTGGACATTTCCAGATAGAAAATTTCGTTGTTTTTCCTTTAATAAAAAGAAAATATTTCTTTTCATGATATAATTAGTTTGGAAAAAGTATAAACTGTGTAATTACGTCTGATCTCGTTTTTTATTATTTCTGCATAGAATATTTTGAATTCTAATTCTTTAAAAATCACTTTGGGAGTAGTAAATTCACGTGCAAGTAAAATAGGAAAGTGAAACAACTGAGGATGGGTTTTCATTGGGCATTAAGAGATTGTTTTGCACAACTTCTCCATAATGCTGTCCTGATGAAACCTGAAACTGTCTGTCTTGAGTTGGTTTGCTATCCTAAATGCGAACAGCTCTTTAGGGAAAAGGTGAACAATTTAATGACGATATAAAGATATTTTTTTTCTAAAATTTAGCTGAAACTCTCATTTATGCTTACCTGATACCAACATATTTTCTATTTTTGTACTTAACTGTTACTTAATACCGTTTAGTACGGAACTTAAGCCATGGAAAAAAATACTTAATACCAGCCTAATATTTATGAATATTACCTCAAATGATTTTTCGATAGCCATAAGAATTTTAGCAAAATTCAGTATTCTTGCCAGTTTGTTTGTAAATAGGAACTATTTTATCTTAAATGTAAAAATACAAACTACTTTTTATACACTAAGAGTTTACTACATTTCTGTTTGTTTATTAGCTGTTTAATAAAAATACCCAGTTTTTATTTATTTTATTTTTGTTTAAACCACTCCTTCAGCAGTGCCAATATTCCAGTGCAGATGACAATTACTTTAGCGGCAAAGAAAATGGTAAGTTATCTTAAATAAAACTAATGCTGTATGTAAAGTTTATTTGTCGAAATACACCGAATTTCGTCCACTATTGGTATTTTGAATAATTCATTCTTTTTTTTTTAATCCTACTTCTTTGGGCCAAATAGAAATTGCCAAATCGTGAAGCAATAGAAGTAGGAATAAAGGGAATGAGATTTTAATTATAATTTTGAAGAAACGTCAAAGAATTTTTCCTGCAAAATGTTTTCTTCTTGGCTTTTCGTAATCCATGAACCTCCACTGGTCCCCAGTACAACATATCCAAACTGACGTGAGGGTAACATTACAAGTTATTTGTCTATTTCTTAATATAATTGAAACGTCGAATATACACATTTATCTCTTTTGAAATGAGTCAATGTTTTATGAAATTATCCGTGCCACGATAACTCAAAATTTTATTCTCTTGCTTTTCTCCTATAAATCGTATCGAACAAAATCAATAATTTGCGCAATGGTTATGAGATATTTAGTTTTTTGCTTGTTTCCTACTTCTTACGTGTTAATAAGGAGAAGATAAGAAAATAAAAACGCAAAACAATAGTTATATTTATGTATATTTAACCAAAACTTTGGTATACAAGCATTTAGAAATTAAGAGTGTCAAAATGGCAATCTTGTATAAAACACACTCGAAATCTTCTCAACGCTACAATCCAAAAGAAATTAATTAATAGTAAATATAAAATTTAAATCGGAAAAATTGTATACAAAAGGATTAGTATATAAGATTATCATTATTATCGAAATCAATAGATCATTGGAGTATTACTACAAGTTATTTAAATGGTAAGGAAGGATGTGTTCATTAAATTTTGACTCTTTTCAAATAAAGATAGTTTAAAAAATATATAAATAAATATCAACAAGATCATCACATGTCTTCAAAAAAATTAATCATTTTTAAAATGTAGGAGTGAGACAAGGAAGTATATTGATCAGCGATATTATTTTCCTACACACAATGACAATGGATGATACTAGGGAGTTTGATATACAGGGTGGTCACGTATTAATTGAAATGTATTGCTCTCACAAATTCTTGGTGACACAAACCAAAGATTTGGGAGATATAGCAATATTTCAATTGTATAAATCCATTTTTAGATACAAAAAGTATCCCAATTAACAATCAAATAAATCTGAGTCACAAGAAAAACAAATTATTTTCAAAATAGAAAGTATTTGAAAAGAGCCTTAATCTAATTTTACATCCTTAATATTTTTATCTTAATCTAATGGATATATAGCACACTTACAATACACTTATTAAACGGCATTTCAAACCATTATCACAAAAAGAAAATATTTATTTGCCACTTTTCTTAAAACAGCAAGTTAGTTAACTAATTGATTGGTTGACTAGTGAATAATAAACAAAAAAATGACAAATAATTATACAGCAGATCTATGTCAGCTAAAATTTGCAAACTATTTAGGAACTTGAATGTTGATTACTAAAAACAACTGTTTATATAAATTATATCGAGGTTATATAGGTACGACCAATTAAATATAACGAGTCTTCAACAACACTTGTGTACCCCACGTGATCCGATGAAACAAGAATTTAATGAAAATGGCTTTTCTTAGTGAACTTACTATCAGTTCTGTCAAATGTTAGTAACATTGTTTTAGGGTTACTACTGAAATTATTATATAATGTTATTTTTAGCCAACTGATGATATCAATTTAGTCACGTGCGATAAATGTATTGTTGTAGGCACTGTACATTTCATAAAATTAAGCTATTATGAATTAGTAGCAGTGTGACCGGTTAAAAACTAAACTTTACCAAATAATTTCAACTCATGTTTCATGTTCTTGCGATTACAGTAATATTTATTGTAACGTACTTCTACAGTCGAGATGTCACAACATTTTACCTTAAAAATTATAATAAATTTGAATTCAAGATGAATGACTTATTAAACTGATATTTTTTTCTACTCTTGAATCATCAATCTTTAACATTAATACCGTTGTTTTACAACACTGGAAATATTAGAAAAGTGAGTAATTTAATTTGAACATCATCTAATTATATATTGAACAGCTCAAAAACAAACTTTATAATAGAAAGTAGATGATAAATGGGCCAACTTGAATCTTCAGTCGCGAAATGTTAATGTCCTTAACAGACGAAAATAGTTGCTGTTTACTGTCTGACAGTTAGAACATGGTCATCCTCAAGTTAACTGTAACAGAAAATTATGACCTTAGACTTCTTTTAGTGAAAAATAGTGAGTCACTTAACTATTTATTTATTAACTCATTTGTAGTAACATTTAAAGTGCCCATTTTTTGACTATTGTAAATAGAAAATTCAATTTAAATTAACCGGCCACTTCCACTAGGATTACTGCAAAAACAAAAATCGAGTCTAAAATGCCAAGAGAACAGTAATCTCGTTTAGAATACGACTAAATCTACTGATACCTTACTTTTACTGCAGAAAAGCTTTCTTTTGAATATCAATATAATAATGCCGGATTGATAATATTATGAATATTTATATTTTTTAAATGATCTTGCCTTCTATGTCTTCTTAATTTTAACTCTTGAGTAACTATATCGAACAGCTACAATTAGTTTCACATGCAATAAATTTAAAGACATTGATATATTCATAAATTTCGCAAATCAAGTAATTTAACATTATACATATTTTTATCTAAGAAAAAAATATAGATGAGTGGTATTTGACAGCTTAAAAACTATAGTGTACCCGTTTGGCACCGTCTTCTTTATAATAACGCTAATAATAATAATGATATAGTCGATTTGAAATGACACCCTGCACTGTATCAAATTCTGAGACGGAAGCAAAAAGATTGTACATCAAAAGATTGAAAAAAATGAAATTAATTTATCTATGACTTTAGTTGGAAGCCTAAAAGTGGGGACTTTTTATTTAACAAGAGAATGCTAAATTGAAAATGATAGGATTCTATTCCAAATAAAAATTTTATTTATATATTTATCACATTGAATCTTTTTTACGATTGTTATTCGATATCTTGCACAACATTTGCTACGTTTGAAATGTACTTCATCGAGCAGAGCGAGTAGATTTTTTGGTCACGTGACATAGAGCAAACCATATTAATGGAGCAAAAAGGGCGGTATCGAGTAAAAAAAGCAAAACGAGGTACTTTTCAAACGCAGCAATTAAGTTGTATAAAATTGTTCTACAATTATCTTACTGTCTTTCCAGTGAAAGCTTTTTACAAATTGATAGTTTGTACGTTTATTTCATCTATTTTTTAACAATGCTGCATATCTACACATCATATACTTACATTGTATAAAGATTATTATGTCGCTGCCGTTTATATTTTGTGACTAAGTTTTTAAAAAAGTATTCGATCTTGTTTGATCAAATTGTATCATAAAAAGGACAGGTGCCAAATAATTATACTACAAATAAAAGCGAAACCGACAAAAATAGCTATATGGACTGGAACAGCAACTGCCAAATCACCCCCATCTTACAGCTCTATATAAATTTTTGCCACAGCATTTGTATAATTACAAGATGGCGACGCACAACCTTCAAACACTTTTACAATGAAAAAATAACTAAATAATATCGCCAACTTAACTACAAACTATTCAAAAAACAGAAAAAAACAACCTAACGTACGCATAATCGAATTAATAAGCTAAACTATGTTTTTAGAAAAAAAAATATCTACAGTATGATGATTGATTTCGTGATTATTCGCTATTTCCAATTTTGGCACCAACTGTAGACTGGAAAAAAATCGAACTTTCACCCATTTGTAACCCAATAACCATTCACAAACCACAAAATATCACATGACACATTGAGCCACTGTACAAAAAGACCGAGATTCTTTCGAAAATACCAAAATATTGGCAGAATGTGTACGTTTTCGTATATATGCGGCTCATCAGGCCCTAAATGAAACTTAATAGTAAAGATTTGGTACAAAAAAATTAATCGAAAACAAAAAGGTATACAGTAAATACTCACAATACGTGTCATAACTAGGTATTATTATTATTACTAAAAAAATTACTTTTTTGTGCTAATTTAATGAAAAAGATCAATGTAAACAATCAGTCTCGAATTTTTTTATAAAGTGAGTATTCAATGCTGACAAAACGTCGAATCGTTACAACTTCGTTAGCCGAAGGCGTAAAATAAATTAATATTTTGGTTTCCATTAATGGCGAGAAATAATTCTAATGTGATCTTCGGAAAAGAATTGGTCGAGACTTTTCTTCCTTTACAGGTTACACTGCCACAGTATCGTAGGCTGAGAGTCCCCCGTTTGTTGTTGTGCAGGCTTGCCCTGTTTCGTTTCTAGAATGATCGAAATATACAGTTAATACAGACACATTTTATTAAACACAGGATCGTATCACAAAGAATGTTATATTAAGAGTCAATTCGGAAAACTACAAGTAAGCTATTTACGCAACAGAATAATAATTGAATATATTATAAGAAAATTCTAGTTTGCAATTTTTAAACAAGAAAAAATCGATATCTCAAGTAATGGACAAATAATAATTGAATTTTTAAGATGTTTATTCATAACAAAATAGAAAGATACGCCACTGGTGTACTTAGTGTAGTATCAATGAGAATATTAGGGCTAGCAAAGAGTTTTGAAAATAATTAATTCCCATATTATTCTTACTTAAACGAGTTTATTAGTAAGTAATGAATACATTTAGATATAGTATTAGCCATTATGATAGCTGATAGAACATTTTCAATAAAAAAATAGTGGTTTTTGATTTATAAATAAAAATAAATTGCGATTAACTGTTATTTCCCAAAAATATTTGCCATTATTGCACCTTTCGACGTTTGATCCCATAGTTTCGATTCACACTGTATTACGAAAACCACTGCTAAAGTTAGATGAATCTAGTATTCCTTGAATTACCAGCGTTTTAGCGTTCTTTTGTTTTTAACCTATCCCAATGAATCTAGTATTCCTTGAATTACCAGCGTTTTAGCGTTCTTTTGTTTTTAACCTATCCCATAATTTAGTTGACAGTTCGATTGTAAACATGGTAGGTTTTCGTTTCAACAGAAGTTAAATGTTAAATCTTAATTAATTTTCGTGTAAAACGTAAATTATAAAGCGTGATTTGTTGTTAGTGATGATTTTTTATTATTATAGATACGGTTTAACAGCGCTGCAATGTGTGAACAAACTTATTATGTTATTTGGAGAAGAAAGATGAAGGACCATCAAAAACTCAAAAGTATGGTTTACAAATGGACTAAACGCTTCTGTTGTCGCGAAAAATATCGATGTAGAGCGTAATATGATTTTATCCGATAGGCAGAGACATTATAGTTAGATAAATGCATCCTTATGTTTACAGCAACTGTGTATCAGAGGTAAGGATAAATGTTATTTAAATATTTAAACATACATATCTAATTACTATCTTATTAGATAAATTATTTTAATATTATGGCTCTATAATTTAACAGGGTGTTTAAAACTATTTTTTACTTTTTATTATTTAATATTAAATTTGAATAATCCGACCACTGCCCGAATATTTACGAATCGGCTATATGACGCTAGTGACGTATATTTGGTCATTTTCTTTTGTTTACTTCTGAGATTTTATAAAATAAAATCTAACCTAATTGTTTTGATTTGGTTTGTTGTTTGTTTGTCGTGTTTTAAATTGAATTAAGTGAACAAAATACAATAATTATTGTATTTTTGCTAAATAACTACTACCTATGGCTCTTTTACAAGCACAAAGTGACAATTTATCATTAATAGACATTTTTATGTTATAAAATGATAATAAAATTGAATTGATAAAATCGAATGATTATTTTAAATAAAACGAAATATGAGAAGCTAAAGAAGAGAGTGGTAAGTATTTAATTTGCACATTGAATAGTTTTTATGAGTAAATCGACCGATCATGACATCAGTTTGTTATAAAAAAGGCATTTAAGTCTTGAGTACATACAGTCAGAATAGGCTAAATTTTAAATAATTAAAAGTGTTTTAACTTGCTTTCTTAACAATATCATTAGTTTTTATTTAGAAGCCACAACTAAACAGTTATATAAAAACAACGAAACCAAAGAAATATATAAACACAGTTGACAATTAAATGTAAACAGACGTGACGTCAGTTGATTGAGATGATCTTCACTAAAATGCGTTTTGCACGAATTCAACAATTCTATAATTGTTTTTAAGATAAATAATTTTTTGTACAGAATGGGTGTATCATGTGTATCCAGGGTAGCCAGAAATTACAAATTAATAGGTTCAAAATAAGTTGATTTAGCTAAACTTGTCCATTTTAAAAGAATACCAGGTGTTTTATGGTCATTTAAAAGTAGCAGGAACAATTTTTCTATTGCGATCATAAGCGTATCATTAGGGGGAGCACAAGGGACATTTTCTCTAAATTTTCTTCTGTCTTTTTTGACATTTCTGGCATTAAAATAGGAAAGTTTGAAGTTTTTACTTCAAAAAGACTTGGATACCTTGATCCAATGGTGTAGTATTAATGGCATACAAGTAAATGTCACACAATCAATTTTAACAGAAAACAGATTTATTGAATATATCTATAAAATCAATGACACAACATTCGATACTATTACAGAGGTAAAAGATTTGTGTGTGATACTAAATTGCACCCAATAATAAGTTTTGGTGCTTTCAATACCTAAAGATTTCTACAAGCCAATGTTCTGTATGACACACAAAAATTATTATTAACAGAATTTCATTTGTGTTTAAATACGGTTAATTTTTCAATATGGTATGCATTTTGATAAAACAGTGGCATAGGAATGATTAATTCCAATATACACAGGCATCTAAGACTATTTTATCATCGAGAGTATGTTTAAAAGCATATTTTTTCAGTTTAAACACCACTCCAAACCATAGTTTATAATAAATCTTTTTAAAAGTGGAAAATTGACACATTTCAAAAGTAAAACTGGATTTTTCAAGTATATACAAACCAGAATCATTTGTTTAAATCAATTCAGGATAAGTTGAAAGATTCTGACAACAAAAAATTATATATTTATTTAAACGTATCGATTCAAATTTTATTTTCCAAATAAACTCTTTAATAACATACAACGTATGTAATCTTTGTGATATATTTCCCGTGTAGGTACAAATTTCACAAAAAAAAAAATATAATCCACCACAAATTTAAAACAACACCGAGTGAAAATTAACACAAACACAAAGTGCACACAAAACAAAAAAAAGTTAAACACAGAAAAAAAGCATTTTGTTACGGTGCTAACTTACAGTTTCCTGTTTGAGAGATATTCGTGAAATAAATTATTTGCTGCATTAAAACCTTCATTTATTTAAAATAATTGTGAACTATGAGGATGGTTTTTAACAAACTATCTAAAACAATAGATTATTTTGACCTACTAAAAAAGGGGCTGATTTCATAATGGGTCAGTTGAAATCTTATGGACTTAATTGTAACATGTGATATACAAAACATGGTAATCCTAATCAATACTTCTTATCCAAATGATATCCTACTCAGTGCTTCATGCACATTTTATAATATCGAATTTTAAAGGCTTATTTGACCCATTGGATCTATTTAATATTCATCAATATAAACATCTTTTAAAAGAGGTATTAGTCGATCCATAAGAACCCATTGTTGAGAGTCTTTTTTGGATATCAGTATCCAAATTATTATTCAAAGCATTTAACTAAAAACTTGTTAATACATTTAAATTTTAAATGTTTTGCACAACTAGGGCGATAACAACTAATTTCCATGACAATTCTGTATGTTAAGCATAAAATAGCATTTTGAAAGATAAAAAAATGTGTGGAAGGAGGTTTTTTTTCAAATAATCGAAAGCTTAAAAAAAATAATATTAGTAGTTCAAAATAACCTATTATCAAAATAAGTCATTAATTTTTTTAGTAATCAAATTTCAAAAATGAAATATTCAAATTTTCAATGATATTTACAAAATGTTGATGGACATTTAATTTCAGTAACTATCAGTTTTAGCATTTGCCATACCGTTTTTTAAATTGCATTGAAATAAAATATTACAGCTGATAATACAATGTCGTACTGTCAGCAGAGCAAAGGATATTTTTAAGTGCCGAATGAGACAAAAAGATGTGTGTCGATCATTCAAAATCATTACCAATCATGATTTGACTATCAGAATATTTCTGATATAATCTTAAATCAAATTCATATTAATCACACTCTACTGTGCTTATTAACAACCATTTTAAGTTTAGTGAAAATTTCATCGGTGTTATAAACTTTCAAGACACGATTTGAGGTATTTATCTGCCATCAAATGCCAGTGATTCAATACGTTTGGTAATAATTAACTAATAACTAACTCCCATACTTCATATTATATATCCTTAAACCTTTTATAATTGATAGTTATTAAATTTACTTCAACAAAAATATGTTTATTGCTAAACACTAAAACTGTATAGAAACTGAAATCGTTTGATCTAATTTGACGAAGAAACGTTAATCCTACTGACCTCTCAATCAGTTTGCGCATTTCTTCATGGGTCATGCCATCCTTAGAGCTACCTCTCATTACTGAAAATAAATCACACTTAGCTACACGATCACGAAACAACAAAAAGAAAACCTAGCTAATAAAATATAAATTTGAAACCATCTTCAACTGTTAGTTTTTATGTATGTATGGTGATAGCTAAAGAAGCAGCTGTTTCTGTCTATTGTTAGTTGATAAAGAAGGAAATAAAAATAAAATTGATCATTACCTTTAGTTTAGGCACTGATCCTACATCCTGATCACTAGAAGTATCAGCATATTGTGTAATATATACAAGATGTCCACTTATATGAGATAGCAATGCATTTCAATTAAAAAGTGGCCACCCTGTATATTAATTAACTTATCTAATAATCAATTTCAGTTCAATGTGGTTTTAAGGCGTTTTCTGATAAACAGAAATAACTGTTTCATTAGAATATCTTACCAATCTCTGTAATTTTATATTACAAGAGAATGTAGAAGATGTTATGAAATTATACCTATAGATATGAAATTTTGAAAAAATGTAAAAGAAATCAACTCATAATTGAAAAATGAATTTTATGAATGCATAAATGATTGATTTGTTAAAGACATTGATTTATAAAACTGAAAGAATAACCATCTTATTTTAAAGCAACAAAAGTTATTTAAGTAATCTTCGAATAAAGTGATGAAATTTTAATGTTTTAAAATGTTTTGAGCTTAAAGAGATTTGTTCAATTTTTTAATTTCTTTCATTTAAAACGACCTGTTCAAGACGCCTGGTTAGTTTCTTTATGATTATTAAAAATTGAAAGGTTAAAAATGCATTAATATTTAATCTATTTAAATTTAATGTTGTTCAATCAGTGTATGTAATCAAATTAAACATTAAGATTATGATAATAAAAATAAAAATAAAAAAAGAAGTTGAAAATGCAAAATAAACATAAAAACACAAAAAATGTTAATCACAAAAATTATACATGCAAATGATTTTAACTAGTTTCCAGATTGAGACCATTTCTAAATATTACAGAATTATTTGTGTCTACCTACCTGTCTTAACAGATCAAACTTATTTCTCAGAGTTATTTCCAGAGCCGGGCACAAGGGAAGGGAGCCACGCCCCAAAGCCAAGGCAGTTGGTTCCAATTTCAAAAAAGGTTGGCACAATCAACTTTTTATACTAAATATACATAAAAACAATTCAGTTTATTATTTTTATATTCTTTCCCCCCAAACAAGTGTGTCTTTGTACGGCCCTGATTGCTTCAATATACTATTGGTAAAGTATAGAAATTAACACGCCTAGAAAGTGATAAAGTATAATTATAGTATTCAAAATTGGAACGAATATTTGAATATTCCTAAAAATAAAGTGGTATAAACTTTGGACCTTGATTTGAATTCATTGCCTATTACAATTTCGATATATTTTTGCAGAATATTCTTAAAGAAATGACGCCTAAGATTATGAAGTGATTCATTCAGTCAACAAAGCTGACAACACTGATATAAAGAAAACGAATATTTAAATATATCATGTATCTAAAATAAAAAATAGTATAGACCAGTGATAAAAAAAAAAAGAAGCAGTACTATCGCCACAAAAGGAAGAGACCTGGCTTGAGCCCTTTTTTTTAGAAATGTGCTTAGGGCTCCATCAAATATTTTCGCTTTTCAAAAAGTTCCATCGCCAAAAAAGTTTGAGAAACACTGGTATAGACCATATAAGAATATATTCCTTTTGAAATTTTCCAAATTATCTAATACTTGTTTTTTTTTCAGCGAATATCCGTAAAAGAATTTAAATCGCCGCAATATTTCGAGTTAGTCGGTAATACGATATCAATGGTTTGAGTTCATGTTCTTTTTACCTCTAACAATAAAGACGTTTGATCTGAGAATGTATGTCCTTTGATGTTTAATGTAGATCTTTGATTTACATTATAGTGTCTTCGGATGTACCTTCTAGGATCAAATGGACAAGGCTGCAGATATACTACTCGGCGATACATCTACGTATCAAAGGGTTGCTATAAAATTGAACATGATACAAAGATCATTAATGTCGTCGGGATAGAAGATTTGTCCGGACGCGTTTTAATCGAGAAAATCAACTGGAAATAATGGATATTATGGAAAAAGAAAGAAATACTGGACCAACTAATGGGACGGAGAGTAAAGAAGCAATGAGCAGTCTCAAATGGTGAGTCTTTTTTTGTAATTAATCTTTTTCTGTATTTGTAATTAATTTTTATTTCTATCAAAACTTCTTATTCCCATTAGTGCAAGGAAGTCCAATATCTTTTATAATAAAAAAAGTGATAGAACATAAGTACTTGAATTAGGATAAATAAAAAGTGTAAAGTGTGCTACATTAGAGGAATACCTTTCCGATCACCTAAAGTGCTTTGGTAAGTTTTGATAGAGTGCCTTTCAAAAGTACCCCCTCCCCCTGTAGACTAGGTCACAAGCCGCCACTGTTAGTATTGTTAAAACAAAAATTAGTTCGTACAAATTCTAAGTACATCAGTACTTGTATGTAAGCAGTCTGGTAGTTACAAATAATTCTGCCATATGAAATATCTGGAAAAAAGTGTCACACACCATGCATGGAAAACCCAGATGAAAATGTGTATGTTAATGAATGACACATCATGAAATGAGTTGAAGAACCTAATCTAAAAGAAATAGATCACGCTCACAACTCACTTACCCTGTTCATCTTCTGAAAAATATCAATATTTTAATTTGTTTTTTATCTAATTTTTTCGGTAGCGTATCAGGCTTTATTCAGTTGGTTTAAAAATAAAAATTTAAAAATGAGGAATATGTATACAGTCTATATACAGGGTGAACCAATTAAAACGGCTTCAAGACAAAACAGACCAGGACAAAATAGCATAGGACAAAATACCGCAGTCAAAATAGCGAAAGGACAAAATTGCGCAAGGACATAATAGCGTAAACGAATAAATATTTTTTTAATTAATGTAATTCAATGAAATAAGGCGTAAAAAATGTTCGGAATGTAGCTTTTTCTTTCTCACATTTTAGTATCATTTTAGAATAGTGTAATATTTTGTCACGCGCTTTTTTGTCCTGCGCTTTTTTGCCTTTACGCTATTTTATCATTGCTCTATTTTGTCTTATGCTATTTTATCATTGTTCTATTTTATGTTGCGCTATTTTGTCCTGTACCATTTAGTCTTGTGCTGTTTTGTCATGGAGGCAATTAAAACAATCCACCTGAAATATTTTTTATTGAAGGAGTTTTTTTTTTTTTAAATAGATAAAAATGTACCTATTCACAAAACAGAAAACGTTTACTGTAATTATATAAAAAAACCTTTGTGTTGTATACAAATTTAAAAACTTAAAACAAAATTTAAGAAAAATGTGCATTGCTTTTAAATAAATAGTGCGACTAGCAAACTCAAAGAAACTTAAAATCATAAAAGTCGAATAAAACCTGATAGCAAATAGGGCTTTATCCAGGCAAAATGCTTAAATAAAAAAATTTATTTGGCCTGAAAATACAAATTGTTCACTCACCACCGTAGGTTCGATTGTTTATCAATTGATCCCTGTCGCATTCAGCCTCCGAAATTTCGTTGCTGTCTTTCGAATCGTTGAAAGAGGGATCATGGTTCCTTGGTGGAGGCGGTGGTGGTTCGGGGCTGCCGTTGTTTGGCGGGATTCTCAAGGAACCCAATGAGCGACGACCGATAGAACCCCGGCTACCGTACTGATCATACGGGGCACCGTAGCCGCCATATTGGGATCCGTATTGTTCGTCTTCCGGAGCACAGTTTGCCGGGTCGTCGTATTCGGGACCGGGAGAGTAAATGCTGCCGTTTCCTGAACAGAAATGATTAGATTTATAGCTTTCAAAAAAGGATGAATCATAATTATATGATCATGAATATTTTAACATTTAGACTGAGATCTGATTTGCTCTTAACAGAGTTCCTAAAACCTATAGGCACTCACCTTGAGAACCAACTCTGTCATATCTGTTCCTGTTTTGGCGCGGCATCGATTGAGAACCGTTTCTTGAGTGTAGCCCATGTGGCGTGGTCATTCCAGATGGCCCTATTGTTCCTGAATGGGGATGTGGGAAGGTTTGGAACTGCAGAGCTTTCGATGGGTCCATTTCTTCTCTAAATCCTAGTAGATGGAATGTTGCGTACGGACAAATTTCATCGTCCATGCCTTTAAATGAGCAATTTCGATTTAGGATAATTTGTTTTTATTTAGTTCGGGATTATCTCCACTTCCGGTTGATTTCAATTCACGGAATTTACCCAGTTTTAAATACAAGGTATTTAAATTTTTTATGAAACTTGAAATGATTGTTTTATATAACTGCTGTATACCGTAAAAATACAAATTAAACTTTAAAACAAAAAAAAACAGCGAACAATTATTGTCTGAAGACCCGCCCAGGCATTATTTATTAGTCCTAAGACCATACAGAAGGAAATAATCATATATATTTTTTTATATATAAAAGTCTACATGAATTAAACAACCTAATGTACACTGGTGTTATGTCAACTCATTAAAGATCTGGAATGTCATAAATAAACCATGAAAATGTAACTTTGAACTGTCTTTTTAAAATTAACTATTCCATGTTAATGAGACATGTTATATTATAAGGGAGATAAAAGATAGTACTGCTATTTTCTGTCTATGTACGTTACACCACGTCTAATAATATGGTTGCTGTTTTTAATTAATGCTTTACATTCCTGTTACAACATTTTGTTGCATTTTAACAGGTGGGATAATTAACGAAAGTTTAAATTCTTGATATGTTACAGGGCCGGCTTATGTTTTATGACCGCGGGTATTTAAATACAGGCGAACAGTTGTATTTAAACAAATATATTAACACATCAAGTTTTTGTTTCTTTTTCTAGTAAACAGTTGTCTTCTGTATCTTTAAAAAGGGTAAAACTTTGATTGAAATCAACCAAGAAAAGCTGCATGCGGTTATAAAATATCGCTTGGCAAAAAAGCATTGTACTCGTCTAAACTTACTTGGGTTAAAAGGAGAAAGCAACACGTTATCACACTCAGATGCTGTTAGTTAGTTAAAAGGTTTTAAATGCACACACACACACACTAAGAAACTAAATTGTTTTTAAAAAAGTTTCGCCAAAGTCCAATTTTAAATAAAATCGAACTTGAGCAAAAATGTATTGGCACAAAAAATGCTGGATAGCAAAAAAATAATAGAAACAAATGAATTTTTCGAAATGAATAATGGATTTATGAACATAATTGTAGAAAAATATTAATTGTGGAATACCATACCTTAGAGTTAACATCCGGAAGTTTTATTTAGAAACAACATTTTTTGGTACAATATCGTTAGTTGTGGTGAGTCATCTCCAGATACCAAACTTCAGCAATTACACCAAATACTTATTTATTTTAATTTTGAATGTAGGTGTTAAACTATATTTTTTTAAATATATTAAGATGTCGTATGGCTTTATGTCAATAATTTGGAAGCAAAACTTATAGGGACACGTTTAAAAATATAAAAGCGTTTTTTTAAACTAAGATAGATAATTTATTCGTTTATAAAATTTACAATTTATAAAAACTTGTCAGTTACTAACATGGGCGCCGCCTCACGAAAGCAAGGGGGCTTTGACGTGGTCTATAAGACTTGCCCCCCCTGGAAATTTTTTGAACGACGCCCATGGTTACTGACCTAAAATACAAAAAAACTAAATAGAGAATTAGTAATAATAATAATTATACAAAATGCCTATCACAAAGAGAATATAAATAAAGAAATTATATACAGGGTGTCTGTAAAAGGTCTTTACAAAAACATACCACATATTCCTTAGACCAAAATAAGTAGATTTAAATAAAATTACCTTAGTACAAAGTTGCTTCGTTTGGGCTCCAGAGGGCCTTGAAGTTACAATTTTTAAATCGTTTTTCCCATATAAATTTAAAACGGCATATGCGATTTTGCTGAAATTTGGTATATTGGTAGAGTTTTATGTGGCAAAAAAAATGGTATTAAAATTTTGTCCGATAATAATACATAGGCGTAGAACTTGATTTTTTAAATAATTGCACCTTTAAAAATTCTACGCCAATTGAAGAAAAGGAGTTTGAGTATGAAATTTAGATTGCGCAACTCATTTACTTTAAAAAAGGTACTCTTGATAAGACTCGATTACTCTCATGGTTTTGACGAAATTTGCATTTTAGTAATTTTAGAACATAAACAATAATTATTAGAACGCTGTTGCTAGGTACACGCTAAAGTGTACGCAAATCAAAAAATTATATACACGCGAAACGTCATATTGCTGTGGTGGGAGGTGTTTGTGTGAATGCGTCTTGTTTGTTTTCATTTACGCCGTGACTAGCACAGTAGTATTTTATAAACCTTAGAAGCAAATTTCACATACATGAACAAATAATAATAATGCCGTGACAAAAGGAAAACGAAGTAACAACTTCTTGTAAGTCCATACCTAGCTACGACCGGCGTAGACACCAACGGCCTGCACACAGCTCACCTACTCTGTCAAGACGTTTCGCGTGTATATAAATTTTTGATTTGCGTACAAGTTAGCGTGTACCTAGACACTGTGTTATTAAAATACAAACTTTGTCAAAACCATGAGAGTAAATCGAGTGTTATCAAGGGTACTTTTTTGCAGTAAATGAGTACCCAATCCAAATTTCATACTCAAACCCCTTTTTTGCCATTGGCGTGAAATTTTTAAAGGTGCAATTATTTAAAAAATCAAGTTCTAAGCCTATGTATTATTATCGGACAAAATTTTATACGATGAAAAACATAAAAATGTACTTTTTTCATATCTTCTTTAACACCTCTATCGAGACTTTTAACAAAAATACTCGATTCTTGCCATGTACGATTTTTTGAGGAATATTAATTATTTGCCTGCAATACGTATACAAAAACATTTATTGTTGGTTTCCATAGTTTCATCTAAATAAAAATATTGTCAAGTTTTAACACCTAATCTCTTGTTAACGATTGAAAGTGTTCTATCTGACTCAATAATTAAAAAAACAAATGCGTGGTTTATTAATATGGCTGTACAATATACCAATGCAGAATATACCGATATGTTACTGACATTAGGATTTTGTGAAGGAAATGCTCGAGAGAGTGTCAGGGTGTACTCTGAAAGGTTTCCAAATCGTCGTGTACCTAGTCACCCAACTTTTGCTGCTGTTGAGAGACGTCTTCGGGAGACCGGTTCCTTTGCTCCCAACACTGTTGATAATGGAAGAGAACGTTTTGTAAGGATTCCTGAAGTTGAAGAAGACATTTTAGAACGTGTTGAAGAAGATCCAGAATTAAGCACCAGACGAATTGGAAGGGAACTAGGAGTAAGTAAAGATGTCGTTCATAAAGTGCTTAGAGAACAATTGCTATATCCATACCATAAGAAGCCAGTACAAGAATTATTAGTCCATGATCCTCAAATTCGTTTGGGTTTTTGTCGATTTGTTAATATGCAAAGATAAAGAGATCCAAACTTTGTCAAGAAGGTTCTCTTTACCGATGAAGCGGGTTTTACAAGAAGAGGTATAACTAACACCCATAATGAACATGTTTATGCCGTTGAAAATCCGCATGCAATAAAGGTAAACCATTTTCAGCACGAATTCAAAATTAATGTGTGGGCTGGAATAATTGGTAATTTCATTGTTGGTCCTGTCATACTTCCACGAAGATTAACTGGAGAAAATTATTTGGATTTTCTACAAAATACTTTGCTAGAATTGTTAGAAGATTTACCTCTCCAACTTCGGAGAGATATGTGGTTTATGCAAGATGGAGCTCCACCACATTTTTCTTTAAACGTTAGAAACCATTTGAATGAACAATATCCACACAAATGGATAGGCAGAGGTAATGACGCACCTGTAAACTGGCCACCACGTTCCCCAGACCTAACACTGATGGATTACTTTTTATGGGGACATCTGAAATCCACAGTTTACAGGTAACCTGTAGAAAATGAGGAACAACTCTGGCAACGTATTCAAGATGCAATAAACAATCTTAGAGGTGATGAAGAAGTTATGGAAAGGATACATTTTAATTTTCTTCGACGTATAAATCTTTGTATGCGTGAAAATGGTGAACATTTTGAACAATTTTTGTAAAATTTCTATTTTGATTATGTTGTAAATAAATATTTTTGTGAAACCTATATACACTCTAAATTATTAAAACAGAAATTTAGCGAAAACCATGAGAGTAATCGAGTCTTATCAAGAGTAACTTTTTTAAAGTAAATGAGTTGCGCAATCTAAATTTCATACTCAAACTCCTTTTCTTCTATTGGCGTAGAATTTTTAAAGGTGCAATTATTTAAAAAATCAAGTTCTACGCCTATGTATTATTATCGGACAAACTTTTAATACCATTTTTTTTGCCACATAAAACTCTACCAATATACCAAATTTCAGCAAAATCGCATATGCCGTTTTAAATTTATATGGGAAAAACGATTTAAAAATTGTAACTTCAAGGCCCTCTGGAGCCCAAACGAAACAACTTTGTACTAAGGTAATTTTACTTAAATCGACTTATTTTGGTCTGAATATGTGGTATGTTTCTGTAAAGACCTTTTACAGATATATGATGGTCCTAAAGTTTTCGAAAAATACTTAAAAGCTAAAAATAGTTATTTTTTTAAACTTAATATTTAAATTAATAATCATGGACCATAATGCCCTAAAAATATTGATGGTGTATTTTAAGCTGCGGAATGATAGCTTACTTAGAAGATGAAGTAGTATTTGCACATGACAGCATCCATCTAGCGACATATGACAGTAGTTAATAGTTGATAGGAGGCGCCATCTATCAACTGTTAGATAAAATGAAAGTTAACAGAATTCATACATTATCCGAGTTACAAATTCCAGTTTTTAAAATTTCCTTGCTCTCCTGGAGAAAAGCGTAGTTGCCATTCGGTACTAAGTACTTTCCCTAAATCTGGGAAAAATCGATGAAAGTGTCTTACTACTGAGATTGTTAAATCAATAAGTTTTAAATTATAATGCTAAAATTGCTGTATAAATAAATAAAATAATTAAAAACTAATTATTGGAATTTTACTATAAGTTTTACTCTCCAAAATATTGGCACGACCCCAAATGTATATAATTATCGAAAAGCGCCAAGAAGCTCTTTGGATATATTAATATTTATAACTCATTCTATAATTTGTGTGAAATGTTTACCTCTATGAGTATGGACAGTCTCATTAGAGCCCCTCCTGCTTCTCAGTTCTTCGTACAAATGACGTCTTGGGTCCCATGTCGAGTGAGAACGATAATGTGCTCCTATATTTACAATTATAAAAATAAAAAAGAAAAAGTATGAACTATCGCAGAAGCGAGTCTTGTTTTTGCGTTTATCCCACTGTTAATAAGGCCCTTGTAACATTTAGCAGCAAAAAAAGTAGTAAAAAGATTGAGGGACGCTACTGTATTTCTAACATTTAAGCAATGCATGAGTATTATTTGAATGCGAGATTAGATAATAAAGTGCAACTGATGTCATCGTTTTTTTATCTTATATTATTTAATGAGCAATAATTCTAACTGCAGACACCTACAGAATGGGTAACAACTGTTAACCTTTGATCTTTGCTTTTCGAAACAATATTCTAACAGGTTTCCGTTATGATATTTTAAACTTCTTAAAATCTGTATAATCTTTGTTTAGTAGTTGTAATAGATGTTTTCAATGGAAGCCATATTGCCGTTGTAAGGTAATTGCAAAACTTTCACCATCTATTAGTTTACGTAGCAAGTAACAGAAGCAGGATTTTATTTCAAAGGAAACTGTAAATTTGTCGTTTCGCCAATCTGTCAATGGTTATGGCGTCAGTATTAATATCTTCTTTTTCCTTGTCTTGTATTGTTGAATTGGTTCAATTTTTCACTATCTACCCAGTGCCAGTGATTCTTTTCCAAAAAAGTGTTTATTTTACAAAAATCAGCCATAAGAGGCCTAACACGCACTCTATGTTAAGGGAGAGAACTATACACACAACCCTTATGGGAGAAACAACAGCGGCACGGGTAGCGAGAGGATGTCCACAGGGTGGAGTGCTGTCTCCATTTCTGTGGAACCTTGTAGTGGACGGGCTTGCTTAGGGCTCTCAAAGATAAGGGACATAGAACTCTGGGATATGCCGATGATCTAGTGATCATGGCACAGGGAAAATACAACACTATAGTAAGAGATCGAATGCAAGAGGCTCTAAATATAGTAACAAAAAGGACTAAACATTAGCCCAAACAAATCTGACATAATTGCATTCACCCACAGGAGGAAATTGGAGGGACTAGGGCCTCTAAACCTAAGAGGTGCAAGCATCCAGCTTAAGGGGGAGGTAAAATATCTCGGGGTTATGATTGACTCGAGACTTACCTGGAACCAGAATCTAGAAAGAACCACAAGGAGAGCGGAAACCTCATTAATGATGACAAGGCGATCCTTTGGAAAAAAATGGGGGTTAAAACCAGATATGGTATACTGGCTTTATAACATGGTGGTGAGACCGATAATAACATACGCAGCTTTGGTGTACAAGGTACAAAGGTGATAGAGTGGGTGCTATGAACTAACATGGGGTAAAACACAATAAACCAATAGGCTTCAGTGTTATTCGGAGACACATAGTCAGACGAGCCCAGGGAAAAAAAAAACACGCGCTTTTTGACAAGCCAGGCAGACCTCTCATAGTACTAGTTAAAAAAACTAAGCACATACAGCTAAAGAAGAAGACAAGGAAAAAAGAAGAAATGCAGAAATTTATGCTGACACCGTAACTTTAGACATAAATAAAATTATGTTCCTATTACTTGACATGTAAACTGAAAGATGGGGCAAAGCTCTTACAATGACCTTGCAACTGCAATATTTCTTCCGATGAAATTCCAGCGCAACACAATTGTTTCCGTCATCTCTTTTGGTTCATCAGTTATTTTTATTGTCCAATCTCGTTTATATGGGAAAGTCATTCTTTTGAGAAATATAATCTTTTTTTTAGAATAATCACTAAATTATTGTTTTTTTTTTTTCTTGGAAACAAAAACATTAATTTATATTATTTTTTCATGCAATACTTACATTTAGGTATCTAGGTTAAAATTAAGAATTTTGGTCCAACAAAATTGTTTCCTAATTTGCTATTAACTCTTAAATTTATATTTTTGATTTATTTCTAATATTCTACGCTAATGAGTCATAAAAATTGTAGGATTGTATTGATTAAAATCATTATTTCACGTCAATTTTAACTGGAAATAAAACATTTCTTTGACAAAGCATAGAAGAATCGAATCTGAAGTAAAATAATTATTTTTACAAATTTTGAATCGTTTCTTTACATTTTTCACTTAAAATAAATTTGATTTGAGTTCTTCTTTAAAAACAATAACCATGATAATTCCCAAAAGAACGAAAATTCTACAAATATCAAATGACAATGGCATAGACACTGAGGATGGGATGGTAACGTAAATTATAAAACATGCGAATAAAAAGCAGCAAAATGATCTTACTTAGTGTACCTCTTTTAATACGATCGCACGTGTTGTAATTTGAGCCTGGTACTGGTGGCAGTTTCCTATTTGGCGGTGCTATGTATCCTAATTCGTCCCTGAGGTCTGGGCGACGTTTGTCCAACGTATTGGTGGCGTTACAGGATTGATTGTAAACGACGTCATCTAAATGGGAATGAAAAAACTTTTGTCTTATTCGGTTTTGGAAATGTCGATGGGGGTGATAGGAATGGAAGTGCTTTAATTAAAATAATAAATAGAAAGCTATTTTCTATTCTATTATAAGATGATCTGAAGAAAAAAAATAGAACTATTTTTGTAGATTATTGTAAATTTCAGTTACTATTACTTTGTGAATATCCGATAAATTAGAGGGTGACAATTTAAAAAACTTACAATGTCAGTCGTTAAATACAGTTTTGAAGTATTTATTATATATGATCTTTAGTGTTCAAAAATAACACGCATTTTTTATGATTCACCCTCGTATAAGTAATGTAAAATAATACTGAAAACAACAATTTATTATGTTTTAATTACATAAATAATAAACTTAAAGTCAACCCTGTCAAGTTAAATTTAAAGCCAACACTGGCAAATGTGGTTTAACGTATTTCTAATAAGAGGATAAAAAAGCAAGGTCCTTTAATTTATGCATTCCAAGACACCTTTTAATCAAACAGGAAGACTTTTTTACAAGATTCATCACGTAGTTACTACAGTCCACCCTATACGATTAAAAAAACCTAATACAGGCTACGATTATTTGAGATATGTGACATATAGTTCATGAGCTTTGGCCATTGTAAGTTTTTTAATTGCTATGCTATAAAAAAAATATAATAATATATTTATATATATAAAAAAATATATCTTCTCAAAAGTGTAGTACATTGAATTATTATATTTTTCAAATTATTAAGTTTCTTTAATAAAAGTCTATATTATTCAAAACCAATAAAAAAACTTAAGCATTTTAAGATGTTTATAATTGTTAAACTAAGTAATTAAGTTTCCTAATGATTAGTTATTTCAAATTTATTCACACCTTTTTTTAGGAAGCAAAACCTTGCATATTGTTTGAACCATAAAACTAGAACTACACTGGAGTGTAAAAAATCTAAAGAAATTCAAACGTTATCGCTAATAAGACAAGTAAAATTAAAAAAATAAATATTGTTTTATCTAAAAACAAAAAATACATAAAAATGTGAATATCCGATTAATTTTCCATTGCAGAGTATATTAAATGTGTAAAAGGAGTAATCGGGTCGGTAGTGTAGCGGTCTAACGCGCTTATATTTATTTATAGGCAAGTTTATGAGTCTGAGACTGATGGGCTTCGAATCCCAGACCAGACCATGTGGATTTTTAATTGCATGGTTCGGTGTAGGATTTGATGTGTGCCGTATTAATATAAATTCAATTTCTGTTGATATGACATGCAGATTAAAAAATCGCCATGCATTACCGTCTCGATGATGGTGGGTGAGGTTTTCTGGGTTTTCCTCACCTGTAAGTCAAATGGCACCATTAATCATCTTTAAGTCGCCCCGGAGCGCCACGGCAAATAATAATAATAGCCGTCCCTTCCCCTACACAAGTCGTTCAGTCGACTTCAGGGGTTGAAATTCACTCGTAAGGGGGTGAATTAGGGAGAGTATTATTATTATTATATTTAATTTATTTTAAAATTTCATTTCTAATTTAATTTTTTCCCGGTGATTTATTACTTCAAATTATCTTTAGTTTTTCATTTTTCCTATTCATTTGTAAATACATTGTGTTATTTATCAATTTGTTTTTGTAATTTTTATATTTTTGTTCTAATGTATTTTTTTTTTTTTTTAATACATAACTAATCATTTAGAAACTCAACATCTGTACTACTTCAACCTAGATAAAATTAACTAAAAAAAGGAAAATTAACAAAAAAAATTAGATGAGAGATGAAGAAGGGGACCATACACATACAGTCGCTCCGGAGCCTTGTTTGGAGAGGCCCGTGAGCTTTCCTGGAAAGCGCCACGCAAATGACAACAATACCGACAACGAGTACGACAACGGTCGCTGCCACTGGCACGGCAATGTTCCAATCGACCCAATCGGGGATCCAAGGGAAGAGCAACTTCATAGTCGGCATATCTCTGGCTGGAGCAATCGTACCTAGAATGAGGAACACACATTACACTGTACCTTTATTATAGTTTCCTTTTCCACGCAACACACAGATCACAATTATGGCTACGATTATGACCAAGACGGCAGCCACTACGGGAACTACAAGGTTAAGGTTCGCAAGGATTATTTGTATGGTGTCCTCTTTGGGAATTTCACGAGCCGGGGCAATAGTACCTGAAACCAAAACACAGGGATGTGTGTCAAGGGGTTCCAGACAGGAAGCTACGAAGTGCTCAGGTTCAAAATGATCATGTCACAGCTCATTAGTAAAAAACAAGAATACTACTACCGGATAGACTAAAATTTACAGGTTAAGGATGTTACTTAACAGGGTGTTCCGGGAGGTGATGTCGGTAATAAAACGAGAGCAAAATAATGTCGATACGTCATATAATTTTTTTATATATAACTCTGCTTCTGGTAAAAAAAATTGTATTTGAAATTAAGGTAACAGCTGGCCCAATAAGAAAGGCCAAAGAAAATCATGGAAATTTACAAAATTAGGGTCTTGAAAAATTAGATAATTGGAATTTGTAGAACATTTCGTATATTTTTTCCTATAGACAAGCAATGTAAATTAAGTGTCCACCGCGTGAGCTTGCTGGCGTCAATTTTAAAGGATTGTGCCGAGAATATAAGAATAAAAGATATTACAGAGTTTAAAGAAGCTATGGTCAAAACCCAGAAAGTTATTACGAAAAATATATTATAAAGGAATTAAAGTTATAATTTTTGCTTTGTATTTTTTCTATGATAATTAGCAAAACATTTTCTATCCGAATAACCCTCGAACATTGATAAATACTCAAAAATTTTATAATTTTTTCAAGCATGTTTCTTATAGGCAACAGACCTCGTTCTGTTTTCAAGTAACATTCGTAATTACATTTTTTGTGAACAATTATCAATCTCCTTGGATTATTACTATTGAAAACATCTCTCCAAAATTATAATATTTTTCAATCTGTACGAATGCAAGATGGAGTTTTTTATTTTTTAGAAATCTAGATCTCCTTCAATAATAAATATAAATATTCATTTTCTTCACGGATTAAAAAAATAAACAAAATTAACGAGAAATCAGCGAAAACCGTGTATCGAAAGCCTTTTAATAATTTTGGACTCGTTAAAAATGATTTTGACATCAACTCCTGAGATACTCTGTATTATATCCGGGTAGTAAAATATATACAAAGATTTGGTGATTATTAATATTTATTTTAATAATTATTGAATTTAATAGAAACAGATCATATCGTACTAAGTAAACAAAATGAAACTTCACCACCAAGAAGCCAAGTAAATAATACTTTATACATGGTGGCCCATTAGTGCGAGAAAGTCCAATATCTATTTTATTTTTAATTTTAAAATGTTATAGGATTTACTTTTTTGTATATTTCTAAAAATATTGTGAAACATACAGTTTTCCTTTACACCGGGATAATTCTGCTCTTGGCAAAAATTGTGAAAAAATACTAAAAATTATTTACGGCATTATTAAAAAAAAAACTTTTTTACTGATAGTTAAATTAAAACATTCAGTAAATACATAAAGACGATTTTATATATCAACTTCAAAATCGTTAAAAAAATCGAATACCCAGTATATTATTTCATTATTTGTTGATAAAAATAATAGAGACAAAGAAAACATTGGACTTTCATACAAGGTACATCCTGTATTTATACAGTACATTTTTTGCTATTCCCATAGAAAATTCCTTATTTGTGTGAGTTTTCTTACGCGATAATCCATTGTACATTTTGCCTATGAAGCATAATAGTTTCATATAAAATCTAAAAAAAAAAACAATGAATATTCTTGGGCAGTGTTCAAATATTCAGAGTAATTATCTGAACTAAATTTTGAGCAGTGATCAAAGAGCAATTTTGTATAATGAACAAAATTCTGAAGCATTGCCCAAAATATTCGAGAAACATCCTAAATTATCGATGAGAAAATTTTAACAAATATTAAATTTTCTATAGGGCAAATAAGTAGTTTTGAGAGAAAATAAAAAACTTGGTGGTGAAGGACCAATAATTTGTTTTGGCATAATTTATATTTTTAGAAAATTAGATAAATTGAAAATATATTCACTTATTGAAAACGAGCTGCTATTTAGCAGATTTAAAAAAATACTTAAATTCTAGTTATACAACACCTATATTAGCATTCCACATTTTCAACTAGATATAAATAACTAAAAATGTTGATAAAAATAAAAGAAACACAAAAATGTGATTTTATTAATAAATATAAAGAATAAATAAAATATAATGAAAATGAGTATAAGTAAATTTTTAGCAAAAATTCTAAACCTGCATATTGAAATAAGGCGGAAGGCACGAACATATTATTTGAAAATTAATAAAATTCATATCTATAGATAGTCTGTATAAATATACATGATTTCCAAGTAAAATTTGTGGCCAGGATTATTTGGGAAAAACTATATTAAAAACTTAGTCATAGAAAAACAAGTAAAACTTTTGAGTAATTCAAAATGAGTGAGTTTAAAAATTTGTCTAGTAAAAGGGTAGAAAAACTCGAGCCGTCAAAATAATTGTTGAGTAAAATATCTTGAACAAGAAGAAAATACCTTAGCAAGGAAATAAAAATATACATGATTTCCAAGTAAAATTTGTGGCCAGGATTATTTGGGAAAAACTATATTAAAAACTTAGTCATAGAAAAACAAGTAAAACTTTTGAGTAATTCAAAATGAGTGAGTTTAAAAAGTTGTCTAGTAAAAGGGTAGAAAAACTCGAGCCGTCAAAATAATTGTTGAGTAAAATATCTTGAACAAGAAGAAAATACCTTAGCAAGGAAATAAATTTTATTTGGCTACCCTGTACAGCTATTCAATTGTTAAATTTTTATTAGTTATGTCAATGTCCATGCAATCAACATAGATATCATGCGTATCTGCTTTTTTGTATGCAGCATATAGGTGTTAGTATATTTATTGTATCATTATTATTATTATTAGTATCAATTAGATCAATGATATTATGACATGTCATTCTAATAATTAAATAAAAACATTTATTTGTTTAGGACATGAATTTGATTGTTAGTAATTAAATATGAACGATTTGCAGCGCTATGTAATATATTCAGGTACTATTGCAATTATTATTAAGCAGAGATATGATTGATTATCAAGCCTTTCAAAAATTCTTTCTTTATGAATATGTACAAAATAGTGTCGGCTTTTTTTTATAAAACATGTGCTGCAAACTTAACACAAAATGTGAATTTATAAAATTAAAAAATTGGCATGCTAATATTTTGATGTTCAAAAACATGCAAATAAACACAATAAAAATAAAAACAATGTTTTGACATATGTCTGATTTATTTTATATTTCACAATGACACACCACGTAGTTAAAATCGAGACGCCCAGTATATTAAAAGTAAAAATGATAAAATTCTTAAATAAAATGCCCCAAATTAGCAGTTTTTTCTTTGTTAATATTGACCAATAGCAACATTCTTCTAAATAAGAAAGGAAAATCTTACCTCATTACGATGTTCAACCACAAACAAATTTAGTATTGTATGGCCATTTTTCCATTTATTTATAAAATATATTTGTATATTTATAAGAGGGAAAAATAAGCCAATAATTTTCCATTCTGCTATGGTTATATTTTGGGAATAGTCGAAGCATCTGGGGGAGAACTTTGTAGATGGTTGTTTTTTCCTTTAAGGTATTTATGATTAGAGAAGAAAATGATTTGAATAAAAGTTGTCAGTCTCTAAAATGTTTGTCATATACATGATTTCTCTAAAATGGACCGCAATGGAGAGGAAATATGAAAAAAATATTTCGAATAACTTATTTGTGGAAATTTTTATTTTTAATTCATATTCTGAACATTTTTTTGATTAAGTGGGCCATATTTTTGATAATTTTACAGGAAAGGTCAGAAGAATAAAAAAAACAACTTTTAATTATAATATGAGTTTAGAAAAATTAGTTAATGAAGATCGTACAAGGAGGAAATGGCCTAATAATTTAAAACAATATGAAACTAATTTTAATGAGTTATGTGTCGAAAAATCTATTATTATAAAAAAAAATTATTAATAAATTCATGTTGCTAGTTAAATATTTATTGAACTATTATTAAGACTAATTGGCTAACACTTTTTAAATTTTTTAACTCAAAATTCATAATTCGTATTCTAATTCAATATTTTCAATTTGGCTCATACAACTTGAATAACATTGCCAATGTTTTTTGAACATACTGGGTTGCTCTCTATTTGGTTTTGGTGTCTGCTTTTGTTCGACAGTTGGGATTGTACCTATAAAATATTAAAGCCTTCTTGTAAACCCTGTTTTAAAATAATTACATCGTAGAAAAAAATATATAATTCAATACCTGTTGCGGTATTAGCCAAATGAGTAGTTGTTTTCCGAAGTATTTTATGTGATATAGGAATTTGCGTTTTATCTATTTTATTTTAATTTCATTGTATTGTCCCATTTCAGATAATAAAGCTGTTATTATAGTCAGTCCTATAAAGGATGCTAATAGACTCATCGTTTGCTGATATTTATAGGATAAAAGCATAAATTATATAAGCATAAAAGCTGTAAATTAATTTTAATATATTTCTAATACTGGAATCCCTATGAAACGGTTCAAAAAATATTAAAATTGTAAAAAAAAAACAAGAATTCCGATTCTTGCTTCAAAAAGTAATTTTTTTACAGCAGAATTCAAGCAGTTAATTTTTAATTTTTTAATTAAATATTTAGATTTAAAAATCAGACATATGTATAAAAATAATAACAAAAAACAATTTATAAAAATTTTATATACAAGCAAATCAACTAATAAAAACCGACCTCTGTACATATATACAAAAACAACCTTACCTCCTGTAACAGTAAGTGTAGCAAACTCATATTCAGCCACATTAAATCCAGCATTATTATGAGCCGTCACCCTCAAATGGTACCACTGAGCTGGGTCTAAATCGAGAAGTACAAAATTACCGCCTGGCTTCACATGATTAGATACCTGGATCCATTCTGTGCTTGTCCTAAGGATCAAAAAAGTGATGAAATAACAAAATCTATTGATTGGAAAATTAAGAAATATATTAAATTGTGATATAAGTACTTTTTCTTCTGTTCTATGACGAAATACAACATTGGACAACCTCCATCCGACCATGCGTTTAAATGCAATGTAATACTGTTGGAAGATACTTCTATGAACTTATCAGCACTGGGAATGATAGGTTTCTCTCCTTTAGTTTTGGGATTCAAATTGTCCGATTGGTCTCCTGTTCCAATGCTGCAATTAAAGTATCATACATTAGTAATTTGAGATGCTTACTATACCACTTTGGACTCACCTATTATACGCGGTAACGTACAATTGGTACCTTGTACCACACAACAACTTCTCAATGGTATGTTTATCCACATGCGGTCCAACTTGTATCGTCTCCCAATCTCCAAATTCAGGTTTATAGTGAATGGTGTAACCGTGAATTGGTTCTCCATCAGTTTCGTGAGGTTTGAGTTTGATTGTCAAAGAGTTTGTAGTGGTTGCAGTCAATTGAACTATCGGAGCGTTTGGTGGTGCGTTGACTATAAGGTGATGAGTAACGAAATCTTGACCATAATCATTTTCGACCTAAATACATCATACAAAATAATAAAAATTTATTGCAGAGTTTTACCAAAAATATATCAAATACCTTGCATGAATACTCTCCAGCATCAGTACGAGTGATGTCTCTAATAAATAATGATCCATCAGGATGTTGACGTACTCTATCATTAGTATTAGCCGAAAATTTCACTCCTTTAATGGTCCACGTGATTACTGGTGTTGGTACACCCACTGCCAAACATGGTAATGTTACATCTTCTTTATAGGTGGTGGTAAATGTGTCGTCAAATGATGCTATCTTGGCGGGAACTAAAAACAAAGTGTGGATGCAAAAACGATTTTAATTTCTTAAATGTTGCACGGAGAAATAATAGTAACAAATAAATTGAATTCAACTATCTAAAAAATACCTACAGTAGATTAACTGGTTTGATAATGATTTTTAACAAAGGAATTTAAAGTTAATGTGGAAGACAACTATCAAAATTATCATTAAAAGCATAAAGAATAAAAAATTACAGTTGCCGTAGCAAAGCTATTCTCTTGTAACTGATCCGCACATGGGACGACTTTTGTGTAATACGAATGTAACGATTAAAGTTCTCAACAACGGAGATGAAATGTTTTTAAGAGATGCGAGTGTCTGTTTATATTAACACCATTAAACACATATACCGAAATCATAAATATTAATTTTTCGTAATGATGGAATTGATAGCTAACCACATTCTAACACAAATATTACACTTTTTTACTTACCACTTGTGCTAGGCGACACTGTAACTTTCTTTGAAGCCTGACCTTCTCCAATGGTTGTTGCGGCTGTCACCCAAAATTCGTATTTAAGATTGCTATCTAAATTTTTAGCTTGGTAACTTAAGTTTTGGTTTCGCAAGTTGGGAACGATCTTCTGCGATTTGGGTTTGTCATCATTATTACCAGTCTCTTTGTAATATACCATGTAATATTCGATAATGCCATTTGGTTCGATTGGTGGTTTCCAACTCACTAAAATTGAATCGGCTGACATAACTAAAGCTTTGACAGCAGTTGGTGCTTCTGGTGCTGAAAATATTTAAAATAATTATTAATTGGATGTTCAATATTTAGATCAAAACTTACCATCTTGTTCGGTTTGACAATGAATTGGCGTCGTTCTTACTCCATCTCCTCCTGAGGTGTAGGCCAACACTTCCATGCTGTAATTTGTGTATTTCTTTAAACCATGCAGTATAGTTTCACTTGAAGCAGTTATTTTTGTGTCTTTGGTTTTTTCGTCTACAAAAATAAATATAAGGTTAGGATTTCATTAAGAAGATATTAAACATCTAGTTGTAACTTACCAAACCAAGAATCTGAAGGTCCGTATATAACTTTGTAGCCCTTGATAACACCGTTGGCGGATGTCAAAGGTGGCGATACCCAAGAAACCCTGATAGTTTGAGCAGTGAGTGTAGTACAAGTTGCTTTTTCTGGTGGTTGTTCTGGAACTCCTTCTGCAGTGTTGGCTTTGATTTCTTCAGATGTTGGACCAGCTCCAACTTTATTAAATGCTTGTAATATCACAGAATATTGAGTGTAGGTTTTCAGGTTAGTAATCTGGAATTTTTTTAAAGTAATAATAATTTTACAGCTTATTTAATTTAATACCTTTAAGTTGTGTTCCTTAGCCTCATCTTCTCTTTGAATTTCAACAGTCTCGAATAAGTAAGGCTTATCGGTATTTGCTAGTTTATAACCAATGTAATAACCCTGTATGTCTCCGTTCCAATGGTCCCTCAATGGGGGTTTCCAGTAAACAATTATAGAATGTTGATCTTCGGCTTCAACTTTAATATTAGTAGGTGGCCCGCTTGGAACTTCTTCAGCGGTAATTATGGTAACAGTATCTGAAGGATCGCTGGATCCAATATCGTTTTCTGCTATAATTCTAATGTGGTATGTAGTAGCTGGGCGTAACGTAAAGATTCCCGCTTCTGTTTGGTCGCCAGGAATAAGCACCCGTTCGGAATTTTTGTCCCAACTTCCCTTGCTTGGTTTGTATTCGATTAGGAATCTAAAAATACACAATTTAAATGGATTTATACCCAGGAGACATCTCTTAAGGTCAGAAGAGTTTGGAGTTACTCAAACACTTACTTCTTAATAGGAGAATTTCCATCATAAGGCGACACCCAAGATAGTTGAACAGTTTTACCAGATTTATCCAAAACCTTCAGCCCGTATGGTACTTCAGGAACCTCTTGTATAATCATATTAATATTAGTATCATCACTACCGAATGCATTTGTAGCTACACATGTAAATATGGCTGAATCCCCTCTTTCTGTGCGTTTGATGCTCAAATCTGATAAAACACCGTTTGGCAATATTTGTTCTCTGATGGTGTATCTGTTATCGCCTTTGGGTTCAAGTCTTTTGTTGTTGATGTTCCATATAATGCCTATTGGTTTTTCGCCTTTTGCTTCGCATTGGAGTACCGCGGGGTCACCTCTTCTCGAAGTTTGGTTGCGATATTTAACGTCAAATTGCGGTGGAGCTAAAAATTATTATACACATATTTTTGACACAAAAAATTATTAGTGAAATCATACCTTGTACGCTGATTAGGATAACAGCTGACAATCCTGAGCCAATTCCATTGACAGCTTCGCAAAGGTAATAGCCTTCATTAGTTTTTTGAATGTTATTTATAGTTAAAGTTCCATCTTCGACTTTTATATCAGGGTTATTAGGTTTAAAGTCTTTATAATCTCCAGGGGATACACCTGAAAAGAAAAACAATATTACATTCACCAGTATTATTTATCTTAAATGAATTAAGAGGTATCTTGAGACGAAGATGTACGTACCAGTAGCCCTTTTCCATGTAACTATGGGCTTGGGAAATCCATCAGCTTTACATTCAACAACAGCATCAGAACCTTGAGCAAATGCTTTATCAGTCGGTTCCAAAATCCATCTTGGTGGAACTAAAAATAATGAATGATGAGAAAAAAAAATTAAAACCGATATTGATGTACAACCAACTGCTTTTCTTTAAGAGATTATTTAGAATAAAAAATAAGTTTGATCGATTTTGATTTAAGTTTGAATTGAAAAGCAGTTGATATAAACTCTACTGTATTATAAGAATTTGAATGAGTGATAAAAAATAATTAATGTGCTAGGTTACAACAATGAAAACGGTGCTTGTTAATATACATTTTAAATATTATATGAAATATGAATTTTTACTGTTTGCCTGGTAAGAACAATAAGAACATAACTGTAAAATAAACATTTTGAGACAATCTTTAATTTAAAATTTTGCTAATACTTTTGAACAATATAACTGACAAAAAGGTAATCATTTTTGTTTATTTGTGCTTTTAGTTATTTAAAGTAACTAGTATTAAGTGTTGTTTGGATAAATAAAGGAATATAGGTATTTATTTTTGAGTTACATCATTATTACATTAAATTTTATACTAGTTCACACACGTACAACCATGGCGTAATTACAAATTCGCCACTATTGCCATACATTTTCGACGCTATATTCCAAAGAAGACAAGTGGAAACACTGACTTACGTCGCTAATGCATCAAGTACTAGTCCATTTTATCTCTTCCGTTATGACATGCGCTGCGTCAAGTGAAATATCTTTAATATGAAAGAAGGCTTAACCAAAAATTCTTGATTTTTGAGTTTCGCCTCTATTGTTCTCACCAGGCAATAACATGTTTAAATAATGTAAAAACAAATATTTGCGTAATCACTCAGTCAGTTTCTTGCATGCATTAAAACAAAGCTAATTTTATTGTTAATATTTAAAAACATGGAAGTAATGTTTAAAGTATAACATAATGATTTTTTTTAAATTTTAGATTCAATTTAAATTTTTTATGATGTCTATACACGATGCTACTGTCTCAATTTTTCCACAGCTTTTACTTTTTCTAAGATAACGAATTTTTTTATAATGTCATCTTTTTATCAAATCATTTTTTTATCAAGTCATTTTTTTACTCATTCCGTGAGACGATTGTATTACTCCCTTATCAACTTGTTTAGACTAGAGAAAAAGGTCGATTTTTAAACCCATCAGAGTATCCGACGATATCAAAGTTTTCATAGTCGTATGAACCTTCTTCAGATGACAGCGATAGCCTCCATTTTTTAAATAGCAAGGGAGTGAAGTAATACCCCATTTGAAAGGTTATGAAAAGCTGATTTTAAAAATGTACCATATCAGCAGTTCATTACTAAGGATTTTCGTAATATATGTAAGTGTAACAAAATTCAATAAACGTATTTTTGTTTTGTTTTGAATACATTTTTGAAATCAGCTTTTTAAAACCTTTCAAATGAAGCGTCACTTAACTTCTTCGCTACTTGAAATAAAAAAAATTGAGCATGTGACTGTCACCTGAAAGGGGTTCATAGGATTACCGCCTTTTCTACTAGTATTAGTAAATAAATATACACAATATTTGTAAATTAAACAAACTTCCTGTTACCAAAAAGCAACGCTGATATATATTTTCTAATATTTTTAAATAAATTTCAACATATTTTCTTAAACAGAAATCGTGTGCCAAAAGCATATTTTTCAACGTTGCTTTTCAACATAAACAAATTAAACGAAAAAAAAAAAAAATTAGTGACAAATCATATGAAAGCATGCAACAGTTAAACAAAACGAGAGATGAAAAAAAGTGCTGGGGATGGGTTAGAAGGAGGTTCCTAAATCCCAGCTAGATTTGGCGAGGATGTGAGGATGAGACGGGTGTAAATTTAGCTGAGATCGATCCACCAATTTTGTTATAAACTCAGTGCGAACAGAAACCATTCGTGAAAATTAGAAATTAGAAACAGAGATTCGTTTTGACATTCCCCAGAACAAAATTAACGAGTACCATAAACGTTCAAAGAAGCTGTATAGAACATAGATCCAGCTTTATTGGTGGCAGTACAAGTGTAGTTGCCAGCTTGAGCTTCGGTGACAGAATCGATCAATAGCAAGTTGGCCTTTTGGCCGATCTTTGTGGTGCTAATCCTATTGAGGGGGTCTATGTAAGTTCCCCCGAAGCTCCAAGAAATGTTCAGCGGGGCATCCCCTTCGGATACCAGGCACGTGGCTTGTGTGGTTTGGCCGGAATGTATAGCAGTGTCACCGAAACTGAATGGGACGATAAGCGGCAATACTGGAACAATTAAATTGCAAGAGTACTGATAACTGATACTAATCCAGGACCTAACTGTAGGTCATGCAGGAAACTTTGACTAGGGAGTATATATTATTTTTATTTCGGGAAAGCTTAGTAATTTTAAATTGGCTGGACATCCACCAACCGATACATGACGTCTTGAAAGATGGATTCTGCTTTATCAGAAAATTTCTTCTAACTCTCTTGCATGAAAGGCAAAAATGGACTTCCTGAACAATATTGCCCATGGACGTAATTCAAGTCTACGATTAAAGGCCATACTTTTTAACAAAATGCTATAATTACAGATATTTTCTAATAATAATCCTTTACTAATATCAAAGATTAATAATTCTTATTAGTTACGCGGTAAGTCAAAAATTACTCCTACTATGTATTCCTAAAAAAAAAAATTAATACCGTACTCAAAATTTCCTGGAGAACCGCGTCCGAAAACAGATCATAATAGAATATCTTTTAAATTTAAAGGAAGCGTTGTGTGGGGTTTAACTAGAGATTTTAAAGCATCAACAAATCGCTAACCATTAACTAGGAGTTCTGTGGTAAAAACGTTCTCCCCTGCTGCATTTTTAGCGTGACAGCTATAATTTCCTGCATTAGAATAGGATACTGACTCAATGGTTACCATAGAACTGCGTTTTCCTCCTTTGGATACCGTTATTTCCTGGTGGTTATCTATCGCTTCTCCATTCAGACTCCAATCTATGGTAATCGGTATATCCCCGACAGCCACTAAACAATTTATTTGCGCGTATTCCCCAGAATGCAAGGGATTGTCTTCGAAATAAAACGGAGTGATGCGAGGCGCAACTGGAGAAGAAACAAACAATAATATTGACGATGTGAATGATGAACAGAACAGAAAATAGAATTTGTTGTTGCATAGCTAACAGACACAAAAAATTAAAATCTAACACAGACACATTCATCTAAAAACTAGTACACCGTTAAGTAGATACCATTAACGTGCAATGAAGCAGAATGTTTTGCTACCCCGGCTTGGTTTTTGGCTGCGCAAGTGTAGAGTCCAGTGTGGAACTCTTGCGCTGAATCGATAGTCAATTGGGTGATACGTTTGTTGGTGCGGGAGATTGATACTCCTTGCAAATTATCGATGGGTTTACCGTTGAACGTCCATTTTATTCCGATTGGTACGTCGCCTTTGTTAACCGTACAAAATACATTTACCATGTCACCCGAATTCACGGGATCACTGCCAAAATCGAATGGAGTGATCTGCGGAGATACTGTAAGGGAAAAGCAGTTTCAATACTAAGATTTCTAACCAAATAAGTTCAATAATCAATTATTTTTATAATTTAAAAATTACGAATAAAGTCTTTCAATTTTGTCTAGTCAACTCTAGTTAGATAAATAAAGTCCTCAGCCAGGCGATATTATAAAAAAGAAGTAATCTAAGACAGAATTACCCGAAAAGTAATCTAGTAGAAGCCACAATGTAGAATAAGAACGTTATCAAAAATAACATGAGGTTCCAAAAATTATTTGTTATAGGAATCTAGGACATGAAGACATAGATGAGATTGGAAAATAGGCAAGGTTAAAATGTAATTCTGTGGAAATGGCTAAAATACCAACCCAAAACATTTAAATTTCATAACCAACTTCAATTATGATTTTTCTCGTTATAATAACAATAATAAATAAAAATTCTATTAATCTATTAACTAATAATAACAAATAACCATTGACTTGAAGTTCCGAAGTAGATATCGCTTCTCCAGCTTCATTCCTGGCTCTACAAGAATAATTCCCAGCATGGGTATACGATACAGAATCTATCGATAAAAATGACGTTCTTTTACCAACAACAGACACTGAAATGTCCGGAAAACCTTCCAAAGGCATATCGTTCAACAGCCATTCAATTTTAATTGGCATATCGCCTTCGAAAGCAGTACAGGAAACTTGAACGAACTGACCAGAATGTACTGGCGCATGACCAAAATCGAATGGTGTAATCTGAGGAGGAACTGCAATTAAAATATTCAGATTAAGCGTTTATTTAAGCAGTAAAGCGGAAAAGCTAAATGTGAATTAACCGTTAACTAGAAGCTTCGAAGTATACTGCGCCGATCCAGCTCCATTAACAGCTGAACAAGTATAATTTCCAGCATGCTGATACGACACTGAATCTATTGCTAGAATAGAAATTCGTTTCCCGACAGAAGTCGTAGATATATCTGGAAAATCCTTCAAATCTTTCAAGTTCAGCTTCCATTTAATAGATACTGGCAAGTCTCCTTCGGTGACGGTGCAAGAAACTTGAACTAACTGGCCTGTATGAACAGCCGCGTCTCCAAAATCGAAAGGGACAATTTGTGGGGGAACTGAAAGAATACATCCAGACTAAACTACAATATAACACTGATTAACCATTAACTAGTAATCCTGTTGTAAAAACAGCTGCGCCTGCTTGATTTGTAGCTGTACACGTGTAATTTCCCGCGTGTTTGTACGTAACCGATTCTATTTCCAATGAAGACGTCCTTTTTCCTACAGGAGTAACCGTGGTATCGGCAACATTGCTTACTATTTCGCCGTTCAATTGCCAAAATATATTTATTGGAAAATCTCCTTCGGTAACTGAACAAGATACTTGAACATACTGGCCAGAATGCACGGGGTTGTCTTCGAAGTAAAATGGAGTTATCCGAGGCATAACTAAAGAAAAATTAATATTTCAGATTTGTAAGGTTGATGCTGTTTAGGAAAAGACTATGGGATAAATAAAAGATAAAAGGGATAAATAAAAGATATACCCTTGACAATTAATTCTGCCGCGTAGCTTGATAATCCAGCTTTGTTTGCTGCTAGACATGTGTAATTTCCTGTATGCTTCTCTGTAACTGAATCTATGCTTAAAACTGATACTTTTTTCCCAAAACTTCCAATATTATAACCGTCTTCCTTTTGGATTGGTCTTCCATTTATCAACCAGGAAAATTTGACAGGTAGATCCCCTGCATTTATGCTACATTGTACTGTTGTGGACTCTCCCAAGAAAAGCGGTTCCTCTCCAAAAGAAAATGGCTGAACGCGAGGTAAAACTGGGAGAAACATTATTTTTGAGGTTATTGTCATAGATCAGAAGTTTTTGACTATACAATTATGTCAGTAAGTTTTCAAGAAATGTTAAAGGAACCTATAGAGAAGGATTTGAAAAGATGATGTAAGTTATTATCAAATTTAACATACATTTGTGGTCAAAAAATTTGGTAAGGTTTGCGTTAGTAAAATAGTGCTTTTTATCAAATCATAAAATAATACCCTTGACTAATAATTCCGCGCTTTGAGTAGAAATACCAGCTTTATTAGCTACTACGCATGTATAGTTCCCAGCGTGATGCCAATCAACAGATGCAATACTCAACAACGATGTTTTCGTTCCAAACATGTTTACAGCAATTCCCTTATTCTGCGGTGATATTGGAGCACCATTACGCATCCAAGAAAAAATCATTGGCATATCGCCTTTAGTTGCATAGCACGAAACTTGAGCCATATCCCCGAAGTTAGCTTCCTCTTCGAAAGTGAATGGTATAACGTGGGGTAGCACTAAGGGCCAAAAAAGGATGTTAAGGAACTGTTTTTAGGAAATTTAGTGAAAACAAGCAAGACAAATCAATAACTATATACCCTTAACGAACAATTCTGATGTATGTGTTGAAATTCCAGCTCTGTTAGAGACCACGCACGTATAGTTACCAGCGTGGTGCCAGTCGACAGAATCGATACTCAACACTGAAGTTTTTGTTCCCAGCATCATTATATTAACGCCTTTAACCTGTTGCGATATGGGTAACCCATTACGCAACCATGAAAAGGACAATGGAGTATCTCCTTTCGTCGCATAACAAGACACTTGCGCCATATCGCCCGAATTGGCTTCATCTTCGAATGTAAACGGTATTACGTGTGGTAGCACTGAAGATAAAATTCTATTTATTAATTAAAATGTATTCACAAATTTACTAAAAATTTCACCCCTAAAAATTTAAATATTAGATATTAGAATATTAGAATGTGAAAAGACAAGGTTCAGGCAAAATGAGGAAAACATCCCAAAATAAAAAAAACCATAAGATTGCAAGTTGAGGCAAGTAGTAAGAGAGGGAGAAGGTGGAGGAGAAAAATAACGCATCCAAAATAGACGCCAAAAAAAGAAAGGAAAGTCTAGTAAATTAAAATAAAAACCTGACTTTTACCCTTGACTAATAATTCTGTAGAGTAACTAGAAATTCCAGCTCTATTAGAAACAACGCACGTATAATTTCCAATATGACGGGATTCAACTGATTCGATGCTTAATAGCGATGTTCTGGTTCCAACTTTAGTAATGCCGAATCCGTTATTTTCTGATACAGCTTTACCATTTAACATCCAATTAAAGATCATTGGAATGTCTCCTCTGTTCACATAACAAGACACTTGAGCCATATCACCAGAGTTCGCTTCTCCTTCAAATGTGAAGGGGATTATGTTGGGCAAAACTGGAGGAAAATATCGTTAATAAGTAAGTGAATATCAATTAGGTGTCAAAAGGTCTTTAAAAAGGATAGGTGGAGTAAGCACATAAACAAATGAATACCTAAATACCCTTTACTAATAATTCAGCTGCATATGTAGAAATTCCAGCTTTATTGGAGACAAGGCACGTATAGTTTCCTGCGTGAATACCTTCAACGTTATCGATACTCAACACTGAAGTTTTGGTTCCAAAAGGATTAACATTGACTGGCATTACGTCAGATATAGGTTTTCCGTTGAACATCCAAGCAAAAGACAAAGGCATATCACCTTTGTTGACGTAACAAGACACTTGAACGCTGTCACCAGCGTTCGCTTCGTCTTCGAAGGAAAATGGTGTGATGTGGGGTAAAACTATGGAAATAAAAAGCATTTACTACAAGAAAGTGGTACTGCTACAACTACAAATAACGATTATCTGTACCGTTAATAAATAATTCAGCGCTATGTTCGACTACGCCTCCTTTGTTCGATACTTGACAGGTGTAGAGTCCCGCGTGTTCAGGTTGAAGAGTGTTTATTGTTAAGAGACTAGTTCTGGATCCAATAGCAATTGTGTTAATGCCCAAATTGGGTTTCACTTCTTTACCGTTAAGCAGCCAAGTTACGTTTAGGGGTATGTCGCCTTTAGCCGCATAGCAGTTCAATTGAACGTTATCGCCAGTATTGGCCTCACCCTCGAATTCGAAAGGTGTAATGTAGGGAAGAACTGGGGAAAAATTTGAATAAATTGCTATAAAGGTGGAATGGTCACAGTTTTAATGAATTGAAAGAACAAATAGAAGCTAGTTTATTCAGCAGCCATTTATACCATTAATGAACAACTCAGCAGTATGAGTAGCATCTCCGCCCTTATTAGAAGCTTTGCAGGTATAATTCCCGGCATGGTCAGGTTGGGCTGCATTAATGGTCAACAAATTAGTTTTACTCCCGATAAAAATGGTATTTACTCCCAAGTGACTTTTTATTTCTTCTCCGTTAAGAAGCCACGTTATATTTAAAGGTAAATCGCCTTTGCTGACGTAACAAGTGAGTTGGACGCTGTCTCCTGTGTTGGCTTCTTCTTCAAAATCGAAAGGTGTAATATGGGGTAAAACTGGAGAAAAATAAAAATAATAATCGGCGTTGCCAATTGGCGAGAAATATCTCTAAAATTAAGGAATAAATTGGAGACCTTGAGATAATTTGCAAGTAAGTCACTGGATTATAGCAGCACTGGATGGAAGAACTTAAGGGAGGCCTACAGTATTAATAAACTTTTTAAAATTTGTCTTATCTGCAGCTGATTATTCACCAGAATTATTGTTAATTAAAATAAAGAAATTGTTGAAGACGACTTGGGTTAGATAAAGTAAGGTACAAAACGATTTAAAAGCTAAAAACAAAAGAAAGAGGCCCATGCTTTTTCTTCTATATTCATATTTTGAAAAATAATAATAATCAAACAAAAAATATTAAACTACTGTTATAATTTTAATACCGTTAATGTTTAATTGGGCAGTTTCAATACTAATCCCTGCACTGTTTTGGGCTACGCAAGTATAATTCCCTGCATGTTCACCACGAACATCGTCTATAGTTAAAGAGCTGACTTTTTTACTGACGTGTGAAATAATGATTCCTTCGCCGTATGAAACAAGTTTGCTGTTATGAAACCAAGTTATATTAATGGGTAAGTCTCCTTTGAAAACTGTACATTGCACAGACGCAACATCGCCAGAGTTAACAGAATCCTCTCCAAAATTAAACGGTAAAATTTGGGGAATGGCTGGAAAACAAAAAACTGTTGCATGCTCTTTTTTTTTTTCAAGTAAATATAACATTGATGATATACCATTAACGCTAAGTGTAGCTGAGTATTGTGCTAATCCTGCTCTATTTTTAGCTTCGCAAGTGTAGGTTCCAGCATGTTCTTCTCTGATAGATTCTAGGGTGATAGAACTACCTTTGCTTCCAACCTTCGTTACCGAAATTCCAAAGTTGTGTTTTAGTGTTTTATTATTATGAAACCACGACAATTTTAATGGTAAGTCACCCTTATGTACCGAACATTGTATGGAAGCGTAATCACCAGTATTTATAGTTTCTTCGCCAAAATCGAATGGAGTTATTAAAGGAGGAACTGAAATAAATTGATGTGGATATACAAACTTGGACTACCTAAAAATATTGTGCACCTATCCTAAACACTTCGGTTCAATCAATATAAAGTTGCGGTACAAGATAAATTCAACAAATAACTGGAATAAGAGTTGTCCAGGCCCCTGTGACTTGTAACTTTCACCAGTTTTAAGTCAAAACCAAGATATCTAGTCGAATTCAAATTTGGAATGTGGAAGATGTAGGTAGGGTGAGGTGTCATTTGAAAATAAAAACAGAACAACTTAAAAATAGTAGGTACCATTAACATTTAATTCAACGGAGAACGTGGAGAATCCTGCCCCGTTTTGAACAAAACACGAATACAATCCAACGTGTTCTTCACCAACTGATTCAATTGTAAGACTGCTGACCTTTTTGCCGTTTTGCAGAATTAAAATACCACTATTATAACCGATAGTTTTATTATTATGCAACCAAGTAATGTTCAGTGGAAAATCTCCCTTAAATACTGTGCAAGTCAACGAAGCAACGTCACCAGAATTCACAGATTCCTCTCCAAAATTGAACGGCAAAATTTGCGGTGGAACTAAAAATACAAGTCATTTATATTCTACGTACTTAAAACTAAATTTTTTTATGGTTCTTTAACCGGAGAGTTGCGATATGAGCCATGGTACTAGAGTTTAACCATCTATGACTTGGAGTGACTGTGTATGGCAGTAGAATTCTAAAATGAAGGTTGTAGTGTCGCCCTAGGAGGTCTTGAAGAGTGTAAGCAGGTGCCATGTACCTCAGGGAAGTGATCTTTGACCAGATTTCCTTCCTGCTATATGAAACAAAATACTTCCTAACCAATCCGAATAAGAAATTAAAGCGGAAAAGAAGGTAAAGGATTCAAAATATATAAAAATAAAATTAAAAAAATTAACCGAATAATACCATTAACGTTTAGTTCGACTGAATAGCTGGAAGTTCCTGCAGCATTCTGAACTAAGCAGGAATAAGTTCCCATGTGCGCCTCGCTTACTGATTCTATAGTGAGACTGCTAACTTTTTTCCCATTTTGAATTATCAAAATGCCGCTGTTGTAACCGATAGTTTTGTTATTATGTAGCCAAGTTATATTTAGGGGAAAATCTCCTTTGAATACTGTACATTGTAGGGAAGCCACGTCTCCAGAGTTTACTGAATCTTCTCCAAAGTTGAGTGGTAAAATTTGCGGTGGAACTACAAATACAAGTAGAAATGTCATGTTCTCTCTTTGTTAATTTAGGTATATTTCGTTTTCTAGATAGCAAACAAGATGATCATTTATAGAAGGGGTAGAATTCATTAGGTATATAGGAATGTGGACATATAAAATCAGTAATAAACTATATATTTAAACGTTTACCATTGACATTTAATATTGCATTATAATACGCTTCTCCAGCTTTATTAGCAGCTACACAAGTAAAAGTTCCAGCATGTGAAGCTTCAACAGAATCGATTGTGATCGTACTAACTTTTTTACCAGCCTTTGATATCGATAATCCATCGATATAGCCAATACTTTTATTGTTGTGAAGCCAAGATATGTTTATGGGTAAATCTCCTTTATGAACAGAACATGTGAGTGAAGCAAATTCGCCGTAATTAACAGCATCTTCTCCAAAATCGAGCGGCAATATATGTGGAGGTACTAGAAGTAATGGAAAATCAATTTTCTTACCAAAAATTGTGGTACCATTGTGATTTGAATACAGCTTCAGAGATACATTAATATAACAACTGTAGTTATTCTTTTTTAGAGTGGTACTGTAATAAGCCCTCCCAGCTCTATTTATTAGGACCAAAAGTTATTCTTGAGTGTTGAAAGAAGAAAATTAGCCACCAACACATAAATTACCAGCCCTTGTCGAAAGCTTTGCTGTAACGTGTGAAAATTGATCGAATCGTTTCAAATTTGGATAAAAAAAGCTAAAGGCTCATCTAGAGATCTTTTTTTAACAAAAATAGTAAAATATTAACACAAAAGGAAAAAGGGAACAGGATTAAAATATTTTACAGCGTAAAAGCAACTAACAATTATCTTTGAAATATATACAACACTATAATTTCTTAATACCATTAACGTTCAAATAAGCGGCATGTTTAGCAACACCAGCGTTATTCTCAGCTATACAAGCATACTCTCCAGAATGGTGAGCTAAGGCTGACTCTATGGTAAGCTGACTGACTTTCTTATTCGTATTAGCAGCTACAATTCCACTAACGCTGTTTATATTTTGTCCATTCAAAGTCCATTTTATTTTTATTGGAAAATCTCCTTTGGAAACTGCGCAAGTCGCCGTGACTAATTCGCCCGAATTAATAACTTCGTCTCCAAAGCTAAACGGGTGTATTTGTGGGGGGACTGCAAAAATAAACAAGCTAATACTTTATAACGTCATAAAAGTTACTTTAACTGATCCAAGACAGAAACTCTTTGACCAAGACAGATATAAATGGGAGGCCCTTGATCACTAAATTAAAAATTGATGATGGTCTATGTTCTGGTGTTACGCTCATTTGTAGATATTGGTTTATGGATCGAAATTAAAGATGCCCATCTACTTTTATTCCACCAAAGTTTTTCAAGAGGTACAAGAGGAAAGAATTAAGGATTGTCTACTAAAAAAACTTTATATTCAAGTAAATACCGTTAACATTCAAATACGCTGTCTGTTTATCTAAACCAGCATTGTTTTCCGCAACACACATGTACTCTCCAGAGTGATGAGCCTGCGCAGATTCTATGGTTAACTGGCTTACTTTTTTATTAGTATTCGCAGTTAAAATTCCTTCGAATGCATTCGTGCGTTTACCATTCAAAGTCCAAGTGATAGTCAGAGGAAAATCACCTTTGGATACTGCGCAGTTGATGGTTACTAGTTCACCCGAATTAATAACCTCTTCTCCAAAGCTGAACGGATGGATCATTGGTGGGACTGCAAGAATCAATACCTTGTGCATTTTGTTTTCAGTGATAAATCAATAGGTGATGTTAGGGTAAAGGTAGGTATGATGTATTGAAGGTTAAAAGCCTATTTTAGACACAAGACAAGTCTGCTGGATGAAGATGTTTGTCTGCTAGGAAACATTATAGAAGCTTCTGTAGACTATTGTAACACTATACAAACAACAGTTCACAAATTCAAAATCTATTTCTAATTTATCAATTTCTAGAATCAACTTTTAACCCACTGAATTAATGGTCGTTAAGGTTAGGGAAGCATAATGATTAAATATAGCATATATATTAAAAAAAACCACAACTCTACTGTAAATATGAGTGTACCGTTAACATTTAATTGGGAAGAATATTTAGATACCCCAGCTTTATTCTCTGCTATGCAAGTGTACAGTCCGGCATGCTTCTCCTTCACTGAATCAATTGTTATCGTGCTAACTTTTTTCCCAACTTTGGTCACTAAAACTCCGTCCATATATCCCAAACTGATGTTATTATGCAGCCAAGAAATGTTTATCGGCAAATCACCTTTGTGTACGGAGCACTGCAATGAAGCCAGTTCACCAGAGTTTACAGATTCTTCCCCAAAATCGAACGGCAGGATGTGAGGAGGTACTGAAAATGTAGTGTAGTGATTTTTTGAACAAGATTATCATATTTGGACATAGCATTATTCATACGTTTATTTTATTGCAATATGCAATGGTTGCAATGGTTTTATAAAAGTTATCCTATGTAAGAAGATGAATAATTTAAAGGAAATGGGATCAAATAGAAGAAAATGGAGAAGTTCAGAGAGTACTTCAAATAAGCTGGTCTAAATAGTTATATTTATAACGAGAGCTTCAAAGTTGAATCAAGCACCACACAATATTATTATTGTCCAACAATTTAGGATGCATTTCTTGGATTGCTTTTTACCTTTCCCAAAAGACGTAAAAATTTGGTGTTAGATGTGTTGCAGGAAATAAAGGAAAGGTTTTTGATAAATGTGCGATGAT